GCCCACTCGCCCAAATAATTTGGGGTCTGTACTTCCCGTTCCTGAGTTCACGGAAATATTAGCGTTACAAACTTTAGGCATTACTCTGGCAATAAATCTCCCACTCATATTCTTACAGACTTTAAGTCGAATGTGTGCTCACCCCCAAGGACTGTGCAGACGATGAGAGGTAGTATGACGACCTTCAGCATCCTCATGTAGATCTCACCTGGCAGACCTGGAACAGGGGCAATGAGAGTTTAGACTTGTGGGGGGGGGGGGGGGGGCATAAAATTCATGGAACACACACGTGTAGACAACAGGTGGGATGAAATTTATGCTTAGGATACGGTTAATAAATCAGTGAATTAGTCATCTCAACTACCATCTTTTATTGATTAACCTTTTTATAAATCTATTCAGTAGCGGATTAAAAAAAAGGGGGGGGGGGGGATGAGAGGGCTGCAGTCAGGGGCCCTGAATTTTAGGGGCCCCAATATTAACTGCTTAATTGTTCGTTTTCACTATAAAAACTTAAGTTCTAATGTTTGCTCACAAGCTTCAACATTTTTTACAAAATATTTAACACGTGCAACACTAAATTTTAAATACCCGTCGTCATTGCCTCCTACCCAGACACAGTCCGGACCAGCGATCGCTTATGAAAATAAAATGAGTTGTTTTTAGGGTTAAAAACACATCCATGAAAAATTTCAAAAAGCCCCTTCCCCCCCCCCCCCCTCCCCCACTCACCAGCTGTCGTCGCTTCCTTCTCGAAAACTGTTTGCGTAAAGCGATGCACCCTAAAAATTATATATTATATTCCTGGCACACAATTCGTTGATCAACTAGTTTCAGGTAATAAAACACTGAATCTTAACAATGTTGGCTAAAAAATGTATTACTTCATCAAGCGAGTGTATGAGTAATAGCTTACAAATGGCGCTTTAATCAAAACCTAGTAGAAAAAATGCGTAGACGTACTGATCCGGCTACTTGCACACTACGCTTTTAAAAGGAAGTTACCTATGTTTTGAATTTAATTATTAGGATTTTTTTTGCCGAATCAATAAGAAGTGGCAAAATAAGGATCTGATATATAAAAATGGTCCCCCGAAAAATTTCAGCCTAGAGCCCCGCTAAAGTTTACTCTGCCTTTGAATCCATTAGTATTTATGAAATTGGTTTAATTTTTTATGATTTGTTGACTTTTTCTAATATTACAATCCACAATAATTATTGCATTTAAGAAAGTGTCTGATCAGTAGCCACTAATTAAATTATTGCACTAATGAAGTTACCCACCAATCCATATCATAGCGTCAGGTCCAGGCTCGGCCATCTTGACCAGTAGACCAACGACATAGCCCAGCACTATACCACAACAGGTCAGGAGAAGGAACGCGTTGTCCGTCAAAAACTTGCGACATCGATGTCTTCTACTGGTGTCCTTTCTGGGTTCTTAGAAAATGCAACTTTAAGGTGGGTCAAACTTAAATATTTTCATCTATGTTACTAATTATTTTTCAAATGCATCCTACTTAATCTTTACTTGTCATCTTCGCAACTTCCTGAACTAATTATTGTGTTTTTAGACGTACAACTTTAATTAGAATATTCTAAGACATTAGGTCGTTTTGACTAAACTTATCAATAGTGAAACTATTTTGACGAGATTAAGAATTTAACTCCCCCCCACTAGCTCTCTATTATAATTTTACGTTAAAAAGTTTACGAAACTATTTACTGTAAAGCACACGTTAAATTTATACCCGCGTCGGTGAAACTTACTTGACTTTTGCGTAGCTCCACGATTCAAACAACGAATCTCCTCCATCTGAGATGCTTTGGGTACAGACCTTGTATGTGAACTGTTTCTGTTGTCCCAGCAACCCGCCAGTAGGTGACGGCCTGTATTTTACAACCTGGCATTCGTCTATGGCCTTGGGTTTATATAAATACATTTTGACCTAACCCAAGACAGGGGTTCTCAACGTGAGTGGTATCGCCACTGGTGCTGTTGCAGTAGTAGAGTCTATATGAACTTTAATTAGTGTGTGTGTGTGGGGGGAGGGGGGGAACGAGTATGCAATGAAAAATGTATGGAGATGAGTGGGGGTGGGGGGGGGGGGGGAAACGAGTGTGCAATGAAAAATGTATGGAGATGAGTGGGGGAGGGGGGGGGGACGAGTGTGCAATGAAAAATGTATGGAGATGAGTGGGGGAGGGGAAAGAGATTCGGGATGAAAAAAACAACATGATTCACCAAGCTTGTGTTAAAATGACATCCATTCATTGAAAATATTTTTAGAACCGTGTCGATTGCAACATGATGGTGATTGCAAAAAAAAAAAAAAAAAAAAAAAAAACCCAACAAAAACCCATTAACCTACTTTTAAAAAATCAACATCTATATTTTATGCATTGGGGTTATCCGCATATGACGAATAGGGGGGGGGGGGGGGTGAGTGGTGAGCTTAACAAGCCTGAATATTTAAATGTAACCTATAAGTATTAGAATGCTCGATGCACGTGCGAGTTTTATGTTGTGTAACTCATACAAAATATAAATGCTGTGACCTGATTACCAGTTGAGTTTGGTTTTCTAAAGAGCACGTGAAGTAACTCATTTTACCGCACTTGTGGTATAAATACAGACGATGTGACTTAAATACCCATTGAAGTGTGTTTTCCTTACATTGCTTTTTACCTCGCGCACCACAGTCCACACGCCTGCACATAGAACGACTTTCGCCGGACATCCCTCGCCATGCCAGGTAACATCTTGAATGGATGAGTCCTAATTATATACGTTATCTAACTTTTATACTTTGACGGATATTAATGCGCTTAAATTAAGGAAATATCCACTAGTTATCGCAGTAATAGTAAAAGAATTAGACATCACAGTAATTAAAAGCAAAATCAATGGGAAGTTTTAATCCTTTAATTAATACTCGCAATAATATAGTCAGCTGTCAAATGTGCCCTATATCCTATGTCCAGCTGTGCATATAGGACGTGGTTTATTGTCAAGCAGTACAAGCTATGTTTAGTGTTTTAAATAAAGCGGGAGTATTCTCCCCTAAACTTTCGAATATACTTATATAGCACTACGTGGGATGACAACTCGAAATTTAGACATGATTTTTAATCGATTTTTAATTACTTAAATTTAAAAAAAAAGAATAGAATATTGTAGAACAAAGAATCGCACACTAAGTGAACAGCAAACAATGTGTGTATAATAGTGCGAAATATTAGTACTTTATACATTCATTTGCGTTTTTTGAGAAATCGTAAGTCGCGTAAAGTATTACTTCCGGTAAACGGAAATTTCTCAAAATTTGATAGAAGGCAGAGAATTAGATCTTTTACATATATGTGCAATTTCATCTATCTATCTGAAACAGAACTGAAGTTACAGGCTTTTGAATAACCAAAAGCAGAATAAGTTTTATTTCCGGTTACCGAAAATCGCTGAAAAGTTGATAGAGAATAAGCACCAGTAGGCTTACATCTTGAATAACTGCCGGTAGATAGTCTCATTTTGCCATCATAGTTGAGAAAGTTATAGTGAAGGTGTGTACAGAGTAAATAGATCTATTTCTTTGATTGTCGTATCTATAAAGTAAGAGCCTGCAATCGCTTGATTTTTGGCCCAGGTACAGGTCCTGGAGAAAAAACTCACTGCTGCTTCAAGCAATCGCGGGTTTTAAGTCCTACATGATAGACGTAAAGTATAACGTCACGGACAACATAGGAGGAAACAGTCAGGGGGTTTAAGTCCTACATGACTGGGGTAATGTGTGACGTCATAGATAACATAGGAGGACACAGTTAGACGTGGCGGAATGCTTTTATTTGAAACATTTTGAAGTTACGCTGTAAACCACGTGATGTAGACCCTATACATTTCCCAAAAAAAAAAAGAACAAATTCATGACATGATAAAAAATGATTTAACAGACAACAAAGATTATCCTTAATTAAGTCATATTTATTTGAAAATCGAAATACCGTGTTTAAAATTAACTATCATAAAACGTTATAGTTTAAAATAAAAAAAAAGGCAAATTCTAATAGTATTTGATAATGGACATCTTTCATTGACTAATACGACATAATAACTATTGTGTCTCATAGATAGACTATTACACAGATCAATAACAATTTAAACGCAACACAAGTTTATTATTTTTATCTAATAGATAATTAACATCTTAGCATTGACATTTCAACTACATGAGCCGGCTGATAGTAATTGCTTTAATTAGTTTTACTGACGTCAACGCTAGATTAACCTGTCAAGCTTTATTGAGCTGCTAGTAAGGCGGTAAATATGTATGCACGAGATTTAGTTGTAGGCTTGATCAGCTCACGGTTGTCGGGACGAGCACAAGACGGTTTGAACACGTTTTTCCATTTGATATTGACATGACTTATGAGCAAATAAAAACAATCCTTTGGGCCTAAACAACTAATTGCTACGACAGAGCAGTGAGTGCTATTGTCTTTACACATATTTGGACGGAAGGTAGTTTTAAGAAATATGCGAGTCTAATTCTTGATGCGTGTCAGCTTTGTAGTTTTCAAAAATAGTCTACTTGCTGATGGGTTTCTGTTTTCAATAAAATGCGAGTCTAATTGCCGATGGGTGTCAGCGTTGACTAGAGCAGTTGAGATTGGCTTGAAAACATTCTTTAACAGTGGGTATAGTTTCGTTAGGAACTGATTTTATATTGCAGCCTAAAATCACGAATAGGAGAGTTACAACAAAGACTCCTTTCACCAAATCCTAATACAAACAAATTTCTAGGAAAGAAAAAAGAATACAATGGAACTCAGGTTTTCTACGACTTTAACTCTACAAATCTCAAACACGACAAAAGTTGGGTCAGCTGTCCGGTGGAATGATGTTCTGGTGCCAGACATTGTGGTCAGTCTGTTGGCAATGACGATGGACGTGTGGATCAACCTTCTGATCTGTGCGGTGGGCGTTGTCACAACATTTTGTCGACATGGCAGTCTTCGCCCGCATGGGGTTCAAGGACACCGTCAACATCAGCATGGCATGCATTAAGTTCTGGGATCTGGTCAGGGTGCTGACCGGCGCCGTCCACCGCCTCTATGGCCCCATTTCTTGTTTCTCGCCCGCCATGGGCAAGTCGTGGCAGAACATCACGATAAGCACCGTTGTCAAAGTGCAGCTAGTGGCCGGCAGTGTGTCTTACATGATGGGGACCTATGTCTCCATCGAGCGCTCGCTGTGTGTCAGCATTCCTTTCACGGTGAGGTCAGTCCTTACTCCAAGCAGAACATTAATGATCTGCATTCTTCTATCTACTGTTGTATTTGGATCACTCATCCCTGTCATTCTTCTTTACGAATATAGCTGGGTATTCAGCCACGAGTTCAACGCTACAATTGCTGTGTACGGCTACTCTCAAATCTACTACAAATATCTGGGTCCCCTCTACATGGAAGTCAACTCCTCTATGGGATTTTTGTTTCCTGTGGTGTCTTTAACAGTGATGATCCTCAGTACCTTTATCATATCATACCACCTTAGGAAATCTTCAGAAAAGAGACAAGGATTTCTGTCAGCAAAACATGTGGTAAAAGTGGACCCCAGGCACGCCGGGATGAGCAGGAGAGAGCGGAAGGTGATGAAGATGTTGCTGGTGGTCATTCTTATGTACATCACCAACCTGCTGCCGCGGGTCATACACTACCTGGCCATGCTCTGTGAGAAAGAAATCTACACCTTCCGTTACTACAACAACATTTTCTGGGTCAGCCTTCTGCTTGACTTCATAAATTCTTCCTTCCATCTTTTCATATTCTACTTTATGAGTTCAAAGTTCAAGTCAACGCTGTTAAATATGTTGCCGAATCGTGACTCCGAAACATTGAAGGAAACGAAAAACAATGAGCAGGGAAGTAAGGCTTGTTTGAAAGGCTGTTAGTGATGTGTATAAGTGTTATGTGATGTTTAGTCAGTGATGATGACTCAAGTGTTATGCGATTTTTATAAAAGTTTTATGTGACTGTAACACTGCCTCAATGGGGGTAAGGTGTGATGGTCACCCCCTGAGGTGTTGTCCATGTACGGGCTGACCCTTAGACACAACACAAGACGCGGGTTGTTTCTGGCTCCACATGTGACTTAAGCCAGCGACTGGGCGGTTGAGACAATGCGATCAGGACCAGAATTGTGCACTCTAATGTTGGCAATTGATGTCACATATTCTAGTTAACACGATACACTTCTTATTTTTAGTTATTTAAATTGGTTTTCTTCATTATGTTTAAAGAAAATAGTTTTTTTTTTTAATTTTGTTATATTTTGACGGATTTTAATGCGTTGAAATTAAGAAAATATCCACCAATTATCGCAGTAATAGAAAAAGATTTAAAAATCACAGTAATTAAAAACAAAATCAAGGGAAAGTTTAAATCCTTTAATTAATACACCCAATAATATTGTCAGCTGTGATACATCCATGTCAACTATTAACAATTTGAATAACATGAAATATAGGAGGAAAACAATAAGAATGGAACATAAGTTTCTGAAAGAAAAACATTTAGACACATCATCTTTAGTAAATATGTATCATTTTGTCATGAACATTGTTTGACTAAACATTTTAGGTTTTTTAAAAAAAGAATCATAGGGCTTAAACGTTTCAAATGTTTATTATTTTCTGTCTAACTGGCCTTAAATAAAACAAGTCAAATGTTTATTATTTCCTGTCTAACTGGCCTTAAATAAAACAAGTCAAATGTTTATTATTTCCTGTCTAACTGGCCTTAAATAAAACAAGTCAAAAGTTTATTATTTCCTGCCTCACTGGCCTTAAATAAAACAAGTCAAATGTTTATTATTTCCTGTCTAACTGGCCTTAAATAAAACAAGTCAAATGTTTATTATTTCCTGTCTCACTGGCCTTAAATAAAACAAGTCAAATGTTTATTATTTCCTGTCTACCTGACCTTAAATAAAACAAGTCAAATGTTTATTATTTCCTGTCTAACTGGCCTTAAAAAAAACAAGTCAAAAGTTAATTATTTCCTGCCTCACTGGCCTTAAATAAAACAAGTCAAATGTTTATTATTTCCTGTCTAACTGGCCTTAAATAAAACAAGTCAAAAGTTTATTATTTCCTGTCTAACTGGCCTTAAATAAAACAAGTCAAAAGTTTATTATTTCCTGCCTCACTGGCCTTAAATAAAACAAGTCAAATGTTTATTATTTTATGTCTAACTGGCCTTAAATAAAACAAGTCAAATGTTTATTATTTCCTGTCTAACTGGCCTTAAATAAAACAAGTCAAATGTTTATTATTTCCTGTCTAACTGGCCTTAAATAAAACAAGTCAAAAGTTTATTATTTCCTGCCTCACTGGCCTTAAATAAAACAAGTCAAATGTTTATTATTTCCTGTCTAACTGGCCTTAAATAAAACAAGTCAAATGTTTATTATTTCCTGTCTAACTGGCCTTAAATAAAACAAGTCAAATGTTTATTATTTCCTGTCTACCTGACCTTAAATAAAACAAGTCAAATGTTTATTATTTCCTGTCTAACTGGCCTTAAAAAAAACAAGTCAAAAGTTAATTATTTCCTGCCTCACTGGCCTTAAATAAAACAAGTCAAATGTTTATTATTTCCTGTCTAACTGGCCTTAAATAAAACAAGTCAAAAGTTTATTATTTCCTGTCTAACTGGCCTTAAATAAAACAAGTCAAAAGTTTATTATTTCCTGCCTCACTGGCCTTAAATAAAACAAGTCAAAAGTTTATTATTTCCTGTCTAACTGGCCTTAAATAACACAAGTCAAATGTTTATTATTTCCTGTCTAACTGGCCTTAAATAAAACAAGTCAAATGTTTATTATTTCCTGTCTAACTGGCCTTAAATAAAACAAGTCAAAAGTTTATTATTTCCTGCCTCACTGGCCTTAAATAAAACAAGTCAAATGTTTATTATTTCCTGTCTAACTGGCCTTAAATAAAACAAGTCAAATGTTTATTATTTCCTGTCTCACTGGCCTTAAATAAAACAAGTCAAATGTTTATTATTTCCTGCCTCACTGGCCTTAAATAAAACAAGTCAAATGTTTATTATTTCCTGCCTCACTGGCCTTAAATAAAACAAGTCAAATGTTTATTATTTCCTGCCTCACTGGCCTTAAATAAAACAAGTCAAATGTTTATTATTTCATGTCTCCAGCTGCACATATAGAAGGTGGTTAGTTGTCAAGCAGTACAAGTACTTGTTAGTATTTTTTTAAATGGGGGAGGGGGGGGGGGGGCACACGGCATTCTCCCACAATAGTGTGTAAAAAAATTTTTTTTCGAAAATCAATGGACAACTATAGTTTGAAGAGACGTGTTTTATCAGTATTGTTGACATAGATAAAAATGTGTTTTTGTCAAATTTGTCTCCACCTCGACGTAAAAATACATTTAAAAAAGCTTAGGCAGCTTGTAAAAATTTCAAAAGTTTTGTTATGTTTGGAATCAAACAAAAGTTGCAAGTGCAGAGAACTTGAAATTTGTGTGTGTGTTAAGGTTACATTCCTGTTTATTTTTAGCAAACCTAAGTTGTAACCTGAAGTTTCACGCTCATAAGACACACATCGATTGGCTGTACAGAAGCCCCGTGATCGATCTTCTGTAACACCACATTGTAGTTTTTAGTACTCAAAATATTGTTGGTACAATTTTAAAATAAAAGTATATTTTTTAAAACACATGAACGAGTCATGCATTTTTATTTACATTTGCAGTAATAAATTAATTTAAAAAAAAATATGTTACCGAAGATACTGAATACTTCAAGTACACCCAATCTTAAGGTAAAGTCCAACAAAAACATAACAAAAGTTTCTATTACCACATTTATTTTAATAAAAATCGCAAAAGATTTTTTAAAAATGTTGAATGTATTTTTCGAAACTATTCTTGTTTGGGTCCATTAAAAACCAACATTAGAACGAGAGTGTAACAAGACAGACTGGATAGTCCAACTTTTAAAAAAAGAAGAAGCTAACGTACTGCACACTTGTTTTTAAAGATATCGCCAGGCTATTTAAGAGAAATTTTAAAATTAAATCGTTGTACTCTAATGCAGGTCTCCATACCATTTTATTGCATGTATAGTGGAGTTCCCTTTATTTTTCTAGTCATTTGTATTGTTGTTGACAAGATAGGAATTGTACCGTTCACTGTAAAAAGTTAGATAATATAGTGATCCATAATTGTCTTGTACACTTCTGCACTTTGTCATCAAATAAGATAAATTAACTGAATTGAGTTCCTCATCTATTTCCAGCTGTCCCTCTGTACATCCCCCTAGCAAAAAATAAATAAAACAAGTTCAGTTTTAACCGTGGTGTCTGCCACCATCACACAATTGTCTTCTCGGTGTAACAAGCTCAACGTTAGTATTACAAACATTACGATATTAAGGAAACATAAGTGTAAAAAACAACCTATCGGTTACAATTAGTATGTTAAACTATGCTATACATGAATACACATTTCTAATACACAGTTTAAAAAAAAAGATCCATTAATACTCCAAACTCCCTAATTTGATGCAGGTTTTCTGAACTTTACGTGATAGTAAATAAAATGATAAAATCATGTTGCATTTATGTCATGGAAGCTCATCTATTTGGATCAGGCCGACAATTGATTCAGAGCATCTGAAGATAATCTGCTTCCGGTTTGTTGGGGGGTACTGGAGGAGAGAAAAGTTTAAAAATATAATAATATAGGTCTATTTGTCAAGATACTGTTGATTGGACTTGTTTAAAGTAATGTTAAAATAAAGGATTGTTACGATGCTAGAATGAAAGCAATTCTGCAATCGTTGATAAGAAATACTAATGATATTTTTAAAATCTAAATTGCTTCATACCATGTTTATTTAACTCTTACAAAGGTTTAATTATCCATACACTGTGCTAATATGAGCAATATTTGTGGATGGCCCACATACTAGGGGCTATTAGCATCGACCTAGATACGGTAAAGTTGCTCTTTACATAATAGTATTATGATAATACTATTTACTATTTAGAGAGATTGTGAAAACAAAATAAAACGTTTAGTTTGAGAGTCAACCATGCTACAGAGAAAACAAAATATTTACACGGGCGGTGTCCTCCACTTTAAGAAAACAATATTTACATGGGCGGTGTCCCCAACTTTAAGAAAACAAAAGTATATTTACATGGGCGATGTCCCCAACTTTAAGAAAACAAAAGTATATTTGCATGGGCGGTGTCCTCAACTTTAAGAAAACAATATTTACATGGGCGATGTCCCCAACTTTAAGAAAACAAAATTATATTTACATGGGCGTTGTCCCCAACAAAGAGAAAACAAAATGATATTTATATGGGCGGTGTTACCAACTTAAAGAAAACAAAATGATATTTACATGGTCGGTGTCCCCAAGCGACGGTGTACGGTACAGATCCGTTGCTAGCTTGACGGCCTGACGTCATTGATTGGTTGTAGTTCGATTGGTTATAGTTCGATTGGCTGTAATCAGATGGATTGAAGGGTCGATAGAAATCTGTGATTGATCCGTTAAATTTATCGTAGTTTTTAGGATCAAAAGATCCATCAGAGTAGTTCTGTGGATATGGATAGTTCTGGCTCAGTGAATATGGATAGTTCTGCGGATATGGGTAGTCTACAGTAGGGAGGTAGTCAGGATCGAGAGAGTTCGGGGTTTCATCAGGCGTTGGTTCATCGTAGACCTCCTCCTCATGCGTGGGGTCAACTGTAACAGAAACACATGGCATTTACGAACACATGACAGTTACAAAACACATGACATTTACGAACACATGACAGTTACAAAACACATGACATTTACGAAACACATGACATTTACGAACACATGACAGTTACAAAACACATGACATTTACGAAACACATGACATTTATGGAACGCATGAGATTTACTATTATTGGTGTGGGGCATTTATTGTTGTGTAACGTTGATGAAGAGCTGGGTAATATTGGTTGTGTTTTCTGCTTCATACAGTACTTGGACTAAATTTCCGGGGGGAGGGGGGGGGGGGTTGGCGGACACTGGCAAAAGTATTTATTTTCTGTATAAATTCTATTTCGTTTCGGGGGGGGGGGGAGGGGTAGGGGGGGGGGGCGAGGAGATGCCTGATGGAAACTCTGTTGACGGAAGAAACTGAAGATGTACGGGTGTTGTTGTGTGTGTTTTCTCTTTGATGACCTATATACACAGCATAACTCGAATCCTCTGGATTAGCACATAAATAACACGAACATAAGTATCTGTGTCAAAAACTGTAACTTTAAATTACTTACTATACGGATTGCCATTGGAACCAATTGCATGAGGCCTATCATAGCCAACGAGATCCTTGTTGATGCGCTCGTCAGCTTTCTTAGAGTGGTATCTCCAACAGGCGATGGCCACCACAACGACGACGATTAGAACCACACCACCGCCACACGACAGACCAATAATCATATACAACTTGGTGTCTGCTGAAATACACAAAAACACAAATGTTGAATCGAGCGGAAAGTTTAAATAACACCTTATATATATATATATATATATATATATATATATATATATATATATATATATACCTATATATATATATATATATATATATATATATATATATATATATATATATATATATATATATATATATATATATATATATATATATATATATATATATGTGTATATGGAGAACTGTTAAATAGTAAACCGTTTAACTAAAAATTATATTTCTTTATTTACTGTGTATTGAACAAATGATAAAAATGTAGAAAAATGCTAAATACACATTAAATAATAAAATATAATTTCAATTCAATATATATATATATATATATATATATATATATATATATATATATATATATATATATATATATATATATATATATATATATAATAGTTTCGCTGTCTGTCTATGTATCTATCTATCTATGTCTCTGTCTATCTATCTATGTATCTGACAAGAACTCTATAGAGAAAACACAAGCAACTTAAAAACATGCATAGTTAAACGGAAGCGAAATATGACGTCACATTTAGCATATAGTTGAAAATAGTATCAAGCCGGAGAGTGCACACAGTAATATGACGTCATTGATTCTCGAGTAAACATTGAATTAAAAAGGCAATTTTGTCTAATCTAAGTGGTTGGCGTGAAGAGTTTCATTCATACAATTCTGCAGGTAGGGGCAAAGCCCCAACCTCGCGAAAGAACGTCTAAGCCCCCCCCCCCAACTCAAAAGAAATTTCTTCATCGATACTCTATAATAAAATTACCGCCTAATTAATGTTTCTAATCTAAAAAAGTGGTTTGCTTGCAGTTTCTTTTATGCAAATCTTCGGGCAGTGGCTAAGCGCGACACCAGTGTTTCTTTCAGACTTTTTTCTCCACGGAGGGGGGAACTTTTTCTAATCTAAAAAGTGTTTAGCGTACACAGTTTTTTTCATGCATCTCTTTCCCGCCCAGGTTCTTCCTTAAGTTTGTATGATCTACAAATGCGACCAGTGTTTCTTTCAGACCTTTTCCTCCCCGGTGAGGGGTGGGGGTACTTGCATTTTGGGGGGGGGGGGGCGGGGTAGAATTTTCAGGGAGGGGGCCGACACTGGACAAATTATATAATTATATTTCGTTGATGGGACGGTAGACATGTTTTGGGGTGTGGGGGGGGGGGGGGGGGCGGAGCCCCCTCCTCCCTAGTAGAGTTGCCTGAAAGAAACTCTAAATGCGACTTTTGTCATGAATGAGACTAGGTGCATGGTTCAGGGATAGGCCTATGACTAATTTTTGTATAAATTAAAGTACCGATTCTGGATACAAATCCGTTTTCAATGTCATTTTTCGATTCCGGTTAAATTGAATTAAGGTGGTGATTTTGGTATCCTTCCTCAACGGGCCATTTTTCTCGTATATATATATATATATATATATATATATATATATATATATATATATATATATATATATATATATATATATATATATCTTATTATATATATATATATATGTATATGGAAAACTTAAATAGTGAACCGTTTAACTAAAAATTATATTTCTTTATTTACTGTGTATTGAACAACTGATAAAAATATAGAAAATGCTAAATACACATTAAATAATAAAAAATAATTCTTTTAGTTAAATGAACAAATAATAAATATATAGAAAAATGCTAATTTTGATACTCTTGCTGTTTTAAACAAGTAAACGTGGTTAAAGTGTAAATTACCAGCATCTTATCTGCATTCGCTACAAGATCATCTTTCAGTACTCACCTGGTTTAACGAACGTCATCGTTGACTTCAGCTTGTAGCAGCCAGTGACGTGCATAGCTCCACACACACAGGAAAGACCGTAAGTCTCTTGAGTCACCTCCACCCTGTTGATGACTTGGTATCCCTTCGCCGTGTTTGTTTTGGACGGACAGACCAGGTATATGTCGTACTCATTGGGCACCCCGCCATCCACGATACAAGTGACATCAAGCATGTCACCAACACTCACCTCGGCGTCAAATTTACCAGATCTTGCAGGGTGTTTGTCAGTTTTTATCAAGGGAGCTGTCTCTAACGGAGCTGGAAGTGTAAATATTAGTGCATTTTATTTTTGTTTGTTTTTGTTGTGTTTAGCAGTAAAGATAACGTCTCAAAGCATTAAATCTAACGCTACTCGGCGTTTTTGACATCCACAAACCGAAAGTTGTAGCTCTATGAAATACAGACTAACTAAGCTCACATAAAAAAAAAACAATTAAGGAAATAGGCTTTTATTTTTTCACAAATGATAAAAAAATTACAAATGAAAATGCACTAAAATATAAAAATAAATTTAAATTGGTGTAACCTCAAAAAAACTATACGCTGTCATGACTAAAAATAAAAGCTTGGTCATTCAACGACGAAAATCTTATGTTATAGAACATATAACTATCAATGAACTCCCTATAAAAGGGCATATATATATATATATATATATATATATATATATATATATATATATATATATATATATATATATATATATATATATATATATATCAAGCAAATTGGTCAGTAGTCCGACTGGGCATTTCCCGGCGCCGTATGCGCTTCAAATATGGCAGGCTTCTGCCTCTGGCCGACGGAACACGGATGCCGGTGCCGGTCGGCCGTGTTCCACGAAGAAGGGGTCAAAACTGACCTCTACAAATCGGAGCCTTATATGAGCTATATATTGAAAAAAAATTACCACGTAGGAACCTTTTCATAACTCCTGAGGTCGTAGCCCGACCCTCGGGGAAAGCAAAAAAAAAAAAAAAAAAACATGATTTCTTCGGAAAAACTTCGAAAGGCCTTAGAAGTGACCGGTCCGAATTCGCTACATAAACATTGTTAATTTGGTAAAAAAAAGGATGACTACTTTCAAAACAATGTTTAGGTACTTTTGCTCTGTACATCTGGCTCATTTTTTTTCCACAAATCTGGGTAAATGAATCGGCCTAATGGATAATCTATTCAGTCAGTCTCTGCTCGCACGGCGAGGGCTAAAAAATGACCGCGAGTGAAATTCTCCTTATATGAGCTATATATCGAAATAAATTCCGACGTAGGAACCTTTTGAAAACTCTTGAAACTCCAGAGTTTTAGAAAAAATGGTACTACTCACGGGAGACCCCGGAACACTGTTTTAACTGACCAGAGGCCATATTTCCTTTAATAAACATAGTACTGTTTTTATAAAAAATAAATACAAATATCATAACTCCTGAGGTCGTAGAAATATCCGCGGGGGGTCACTAAAAATAGGCGTTATCTACGACCTCACAAAATTTCATGGGGGCAGCAAGTCGTTCGGCTATACATTTTTTTTATTTAACTCATATATGGAGAATTTCACTCGCGCATATCTTTTAGCCCTCGTCGTGTCTGACCGACACCTTTTCCATACGGCCTAGCCATCTATCGAGGTGCATGAAAAACAATTAGCCAGATGTACAGAGGTTAAGTAACCTAAAAGCTTTGTTGAAATTACCCTGTTTTTCCCCATAAATTACAGATTATATAGGGAAATACGACTGGACAGTTTTGACCTGATTTTTCCCGGATACGGCGAGTTTTTTCTGACATCCATAGGCATTTTTCTATGACCTCACAAAATGTCAAGGTGGGGGGGGGGGGGGGGGGGGGGGAGAATCGTTCGGCAACAGTATTTTTTTTGATATATAGCTCAAATAAGGAGAATTTCACTTATTTTCACGTTTTAGCCCTCGCCGTTTGAGTAAAGCCGAACCTGTCGTGTTAAATTTACTAGTGTTCCTACTTTATAAATTAAATTATTATTTTCGTTGTAAGTTGTTAATAAATTCAAAATTTCTGTAAATAAAAACCTTTAATAGTTAGTAATTATTTTATCGGGTGTTGTTTATTCATTTATTATCCTAGCTCTATTAACTGCATCAGACGAGTGAACGAGCCATGTTCATTAAGAAACGCGTGATACAGGTGTAACAGTAACATCTGATGTAGATAGATTCATCATGAAACTGAGCTCTTATGTATATAGATTTACCATAAAGCTAACCTCTAATGTTGATCGATTGATCCTGTTTTTGAACCATCTCGGGGTAGATTGGGTTCTCGGCCCGACAAGAGAACGTCTGCTGGCCGGATGAGGTATTGACGACAGTCATCTGGTAACTATAGAGTTCAACACCGTTGAGTTGGCCTTTTGTTGGCGCCGAAATGTTTTTTGGACCTTGCCAAATCGTAAACAATGGAGGTGTACTCGTCTTGGAAAGAAAAAAATCAACGTTGGTTATCTTACTTATATATACATAAATAAACAACACACTCTCATATACAGTTTGGTAAAAATGTAATCGTGCATTTGTTTTGAGAAATTGTATTCTAAGCATAAACAGAAAATGAAAGAAAGCTGTTTATTTTGTACCGTTAAGTAATTTTAGCATTAAAATAGCGTTTAACCTTGTTTTTGGGAACTTGACAGGTGATTGTGATACCAGACGAATCTGGACAGGAATCATACGAACCAGTCGATGGTGTCAGGGACATGAGTAGAGCATCTGGTCCAACTAAAGTCAGAGAAAAATGACTTATTCAGATTTACATTTATGGCTGTACAAAAATTTAAGATAAAGTTAACACCAGTCGTATCACATTTGTCAATGGAACGGGTTGGTCTAGCGGTACTGTGGTCAAACCATCTGCGGTAAAAATCACCTGGGATTCATTTTAGAAATACTTACCAAGACATTTTGTGAACCATAACTTTCGAAAAAAAATCTGAATGTTTATATGTTAGATGGCGAGGTCAATATGAATTTTTGGACCAGATAAACATACGTAATGCACGTTAATTTGAGTAATTAATTTTTTTTTTTGTTTTCAGTTTGTTTTTTAACGAATCTTCTTCTTCCTCTTCTTCGTTCTTAATTTTTGAATATGGTGGAGGATTCAGACAACAAGTCCAACTTCGTGGACAAACCGGACTGTGGTTTCCAGTTTGTCAGGTGTCCCATATAATTTTTCCCTGAGTGGGGTGGGCTGGGGCCAGTGTCTGCCTCTTGCCTGGCTAAACAGAGTAGATTCCTGGAGTACGTGCTCCGTGTTTTCCGGGGTCTTGCCACAAGGGCACATTTCGCTACACCCAACCTTCAGTTTTTTGCGCATGTGTTGATTTAGTCTGTTGTGGCCTGTTCTAAGTCGAAAGATTATGTATTGTTGTTTTCGTGTTAAATTGTAATAGCCGTCGTCTTTAATGAAGTGAGGGTGTGTGACAGACCACATTTGCGTTTGTTTGTTTTTAATTATTCTTTTTATTTCTTTTGGGTGTAGCGAAATTTCCGGTTGTGGTTTCTTTCCCCCAATTTTTGCCAGCTGGTCTGCGATCTCGTTACCCTGGATCTGGCAGTGGCCCGGGATCCACTGCAGCACAATTCTGAGAATGAAGTAGCCTCATTTTAAATTGTAACCATACACCGCTAAGTAAGCTTTCATTGAAGTCGCCAACTAAAAAATACTGAATATTTTAAATTACAATTGATTTATGAATAGGGCTTTCACTTACAAATGGGTTTGGGCGAAAAGTTATTGGAACTGATGATCGGGTAATTACGTTGTAGAACTGTATCAACATCACATACATAGACAGGGTTCTGATCTGTGAATGTTCATCAATCAAATTATTAGGTATTTTATTAATAAAATACTAAGATAATAATATTATAAGTTTATTAAATAAATGTTATTTGTTGTGATTTCTTTAATCTTTGGTACTTTTGTACAAGCTGTTATTTTTAAAAATAAAATTCAAACAATACATTTTCAATTCAAAATTTAACATTGATATGTTGTATTTAACTTAGTAACCTATGGTATGATTCAAATAATTATTTAGAGAAAAAAATATTTACCGCCTGATGTCATCTGTATGGACAGAACCTGTTCCGTATTGTTGCCAGTCGAAGGGACGGCTCCATTGTTGGAATACCATCTGGGTTTTCCTGGAGGATATCCTGGGTCATCCAGGTAGCACGTGCAGCTGACCATCTCTCCAGCCTTCACCCCCACGCTGGGGCAAGTTACAGGTTTGACCGTTGGAAGTCCTGTTGACGTGCAGAGATATTGGCATGACAATGAAAGATAAAGTGCGTGAAACTGAGACTATATGATTGAAATAAATGATTAAACTAAATTAATAAAATATCTTATTGTAATCTTTGATTAAATTAGAATATTGAAACAGATAATTAGATTGGAAATGAAAACAGATAGTTTAAAGAAAAGAGTCCATCTTACTTAAGCTGACGACATCGCTGATGTAGGTGACCCCGATATCCGCGGCTACAATGGTTGCATTTGGGTTGGTCACTGTAAGGGACATTTACATATTAAATACTTCGTGTGTGTTGTAATCAAAATGCAATCAACGTTTTCTCGTACAAAGGTCATTTGACAATGTAACTTGTCGACTTAGTATATGTTAATAGAAAAAATAAAATCTTCAAGGTAAATTTATTTGTTCTCAATTTTTCTCTCTTTAAAAAGTATACATTTTGAACGAATGCACAACACAGACAACAAAAGATATAATTATCTGGAAGATGCCATCTGGTTACCTGGATCTGCCCCACAGACGTTTGGGGCGATGATCATGGTGAACTGTTCGTCCCTTGGTAGCAGGGTGTTCAGTTTCTGAACATAAGTACAGGTAACCTTGTCATTTTGTACGGTGATCGACAGGGTACCATTTAAGACGTTGCCGGTTTTCTGTAGATGAAGTTTGAAGATGACAGCAGACAATAAAGAATGACCACTGTCCGTAAAGTGTCAATGAAATTAAATACATAAGAATAACTGCAATTGTAAAGTTATGATTTGAATTGAATACTCTTCTTCATCTGCATAGTTGATCGTATGATATGGTATGTCTGTTTGAACTATGAAGGAGGCGTTGGTCATGATGGGGATAGATGCAAATTATGCCATTAATTCTGTGGAGATGCTTAGGACTCCAAAAGTGTATTAGTGAACGTTTAAAAATAAAGGACGGTAATTAAAATAGTCAGTGCATTAGGAGCTGCTGATCTGCCGACAGAGAAAGTCTAAAAGAAGACACCAAGCAACAGCTCAAAAGGACACACAACAAAAAAAACCGGCGAACAAGACACACAAAATAAAAAAATAAAACAGTCGAACAGGAAACCCTCTTGTACCTGGTGGCTGATGAAGCAAATGGGCTGGGGTTTCATGGGATAGATTCCCTGCACGCTGCACGCGAAGTTTATTTGTGAGTTACCGTTGGTTAAAGTAATTGGTGTACACATCATGGACGATGGTGCGGCTGTACATCAAAGGTACATATGATTAGGTTTGATTTTATATTTATATATAAACATGTTTGCACACACTCGCACACACACACATCCACACATACACACAAACACACACATATATATATATATATATATATATATATATATATATATATATATATATATATATATATATATATATATATATATATATATCGATTTATATATATATATAAATCGATTTATATATATATATATATGTATGTATATATATATATATATATATATATATATATATATATATATATATATATATATATATATAAATCGATTGCCCAAATCTTAATTATTCCACTTTTCATACCAATAAACCATTTTGTTCTAAATCTTTCAAGACCTTAAGTTACACAAAACTGTTTCTGTAACTCTTATTATTATAACACTCCAAGCTCATTTGCAATAAGTGCTTTACTGTGAGACTTAAATAATTTTACAATGACATTTATAGAAAGCTATTGGTAAGTGTGTATTGATTCTGCTGTACGATGTAATATTTTCAAAATTTTATGCGCATCACGAAAGACGTTTATAATTGTTAATACCAAATTGATGTTCTATATTTGTTAACTATAAAATGATAAAAAATATCCTTTTGATACCAATGAATGTTAACTATAAATCCGTCTAGAAATGAGCAACACCTACCGTACACCGTCAGGTTCCAGGTAGCAACAAGCTGGGCGTTCACTAGACAAGTCACGAGGCTGAGACCTCTCTGGACACTGCTTATGGTCAGCTGGCTGGTGGTTGCGGTGTTAGAGATCTGACAGCCGGGACTATTGGTGCAGGTACCGTCTTGTGTACACTCCACCTGTACCCCACCACCAAGTTGCCACGTGACATTCTGCCATGATGCAGGCAGTGCACATGTTAACGTCTGTGCATTTCCTTCTTTTACACACACTTGATTAGTTGCATCTGCAGGGGACGACAGTAAGTGTGTGAATGTTACATCAAATGTTCACTAGGTTTAACACATTTAGTGAAGAGAAGCAACTAAAAATATTATAAAGTGATTTTGTTGCATGCTGGTAGCGTATAGTCTTCATCTTAATAAAAATAAGAGTTTCATGTGTCAAACGACTAGAATCGTTCTTGAACGTAGTCATTTGATAAATTATTTTCGGAATAAATAAGTTAACTGATAATTGATATTTCGAATTCAGGGTAAATATCACAAAGACGGTGTAATGTTGAATTTCGTATACATTACAAGCTACCAAAACGCTAGTACTTTATCTGAGGCGAACAATTTAAATTTCTACGAGTTTGTTCAGAAGTATGCACATTAATCCATGTGTAGGACAACTCCACTTTCAGAGAAACTGACATAAAGCTAAGACCATTTGACAGTTCCACATTCAGAAAAATTGTGCTTTGCATGAAGTTAAGACCATTTGACAACTCCAAATTCAAATGCAAATAATTGTAAATGTTTTGTTCCATACTCACTAAAACTAATGATACACAGATAGGTGTTAAACTTTACAATATCATGACCACATCAGCCGACAAGACTTATCGATGTTTAACTCGGACAAAATATATTCAAATTATAAATTAATCTTTGCTTGATAGATACTTATCTATCTATATATCTATCTATATACTACCAAAACTTAAGTTTGTTTACATGTTTGAATATTTATTGTTTTGTTTGTTTGTTTGTCCGTTAGGTTACAGGAGAGAATCTGCACTATGTGTACAGCTATAAAATAGTAATTAGGTAGAGAACAACTTATGTTTTCAGACAGACTGCTAATCACAAATTGATTTAATTTATTGATTTAGTCATTGGTAGATTAACCACACTAATTATAAAAGTTCAGAACAATGACTTTACCTAGAGTGAATAGTGACGTCACATGATTTATTTACTTTTTATATCAACAATGGCGGCTTCCATCGAAGATTGTGTTGCCGATTCAAAACTATAGCGCATTTTATAGCTAAATTTCTGTCGGCTATAGCTTTAACGATGCGTCTGTTTGCTATTTTTTAGGTTTCAACACTATTATCAAATTTTAACAGTTCGTTTTTTATTTTAGTATACAATACATTTCTCTAGATCTACAGATCCGCTGTCGAAGGAAGAATTCTAGATCTAGATCTAGGTAACTAGACTTAACGTAAATAGGGCTGGTAAGTAGGTCACCAACCAGTACTACGGCTCAATAAAACCTGCTTGAGCCATATAACTGGTTGGTGACCTACTTACCAGCCCTATTCTAGATCTAGACTTAATGCAAATTCTACATCTAGATCTAGAATCTATTTCAGGCCTTAATTATTTTATATAAATCTTTGTTTAGCTTCAATGATCATCTAATTCGAGAATGCATGTGATTTATCTATCTAGGTTCTAGATTAGGATCCAGAGTTACGACAAAAACTAGAATCTAGACTCAACGTAAATTCTACATATAGATCTAGACTTAACGTAAATTCTACATCTAGAATCTAGAACTAAAATCTATATACTAAATTATTTCAGGCCTTAATTATTTTGTATAAATCTTTGTTTGTTTGGCTATGGAAATGGCTAATTTGGGATATAGGCCCCAAATTAAATTTAAAATAATAGGCCCTATTCGCGTAACTGGTTTAGTACTTTGCTGTACAGTATATGACTAATTCTACGTTGATTAGTCAGTGCCCATATAGCTAAGATGGTAGTGTAATGGTACGGGTTCGAGACACATCACGAGAAAGTTAATTTGTTTGTTTCGATTTGTGTTTTTTTAAACGTGAATTATGAAGTTGCCTATTGGGACCTCGTGGGACACAGGGCAGGTGAAGTTAACCTGTTTCTTTGCCCTCAGCATATGAAAGGATAGTGTGGTCAGAGACATGCTCGGGCGGAATGGTTTTTTAAACGATAAAAACATGTCTGAAACTTGGCGGGACACTGGGCAGACGAAGTAGAGTTGAGTAAGTCACATGTGACGTTAGTATATGAAGGGATAGTGTGGTCAGACCCATGCTCAGCCGGAATCGGTGTTATTTGTGGTTATTTTGTGATGATAAGTGACAGACGTAAGGTCATTTATGGATTACCCTCGAAACCCACAGTTACCTAACTGGATAACGGGTAGTCTAGTATATCTTAAAGACAAATCGATCAGCTGTAAAAATTCTTGGTATCGATATCTTCTCGTCGCCTCTCCACATTAATTAAAATTCTAATTGCCCAACTTTAATCCAAATTAATTAGTTTACCGATTACAAATTTGTGTGTGTGGTGTAAACGTCCATTACTTACATACGTGATGACAGAACAACGTCAGACACAGGAGTCGCCAAAACATTTTCTCAAACTGGATATCTGCTGGAAATCAAATGTAAACATAATAAGATTAATTAAACAGCCTTCAATGTTAAATTATTGTGATGACGTAACATTTTCTCAAACTTTTGATATCTTCAAGAGATGAAGTGGGAAATTAAAAAACAACAAAACCCCTTAAACAGTCTCTATTATTTAATAGATTTTGGTCAGGTAAGTAAAATAGAAAAAAAAAATCATGATTCCCGGACATAAATTATCTTCTTAATGATAGTGCAATTGTTAATGACATCATACCATTAATCCGTTTGTTTTATAAAAATTAGGATACTTACATTTGTTTTTAGTTAGATCTTACCCAAAACTCAACAATATGAACTTACATATTTCACGTTAAAAATAACATGTTGTTATATTAAAGAAAAAAAAATCGTTTTACCCACTTAAAAGTTTAAAAATTATTTCTTGGGTCAACATTCATCTAACTTAAAATACAAGGAAGTATATGAAGACACAATACACTAGTGAATAAAAAAAAATAGTGCACACGTGTGCTCCTGTTCTAGTTCTGATGCAAATGATTAATTTATTATAGTCAACCCAATAAAACAGGGCAGCGATATACAGACAACGACTAAATGATTGACACCTTTTACTTCCTGGTTGTTTAAGGTTTTATGCATGATTGAATTTTTTTACACCAGTTTGTTCTCCCCTGGTTTATAAATAAACTTCTACACACGGTAAGTTATCGAGCGAGACATTTTTTTTTACGGTAGACCTCGGGCTGTGCCAAACTCTACTGGATTTTAAGGAGCTTTAGAAATATTTTATTTTATTTGAGGGGGAGGGACGGGGACGGGGGGGGGGGGGGAGTATGACATCAGAAAATGTTAGCCATACACTTTTCGAGGATTGAAGAATACAAAATGTTATCTTGAAACCCTAACCAACAATATGGTCGTAGAGATAGCAGAACACTGGGGCTACATGAAGGCCAGCGACAAAATGGCCCTAACAAAATAGTCTCAAACAAACAACATTGCTAAAATGGAGCCTGTAGAATAAAGTATGTACAATGGATACACGAGTTTTGGTTGGCTCAAATAATTTGATAATTTTTCTGTCCTAACTAGTTTTAGTTGATGATCACGTGATTGCACACCTCATCACGTGACCTTTGGTATGGACATCTCCCCACATTTCTCATACAAAAGCTCAGTCAATATGTGTTTGGAATGAAAAGGAAACCTCCCCAGTGATTTTAAGCAAATGACTTGAGTGTGGGGACCTACACCCTTAGTAAAGCAGAGAGCAGTGTTCTAATATCTGTAAGCTTAACGTAATAAAATGTTCAGCTTAGGACGACTAATTCCTCTAGAAAACTCACTGCCTATTCAGCTCTAGAATGTCGGGTTCAACCTTCTATGTCGTAAAGTATTTTTCAATTAGTGTCGAACATTAGGAGCTTAAAGTTTGATGTAAGGGTAGGTTTAACTTAATAAAGACGTCAACACAGACTTAACTTGACAGGGAAATTAACCCTGTCTTACTTTGACAGGGGCATTAAACCAGACTTACATCGACGGGGGCTTTAAGCATTACTTGTGACACGGGCACACGTCGAATGAGATACCATTACACATTTCACTGACACTCCGAGAATGTCTCTAAAATATTGAGCAAACTTTCCTTCAGTACCAACAGCGGTGAAACAGATAAGGAAAACAAATAGCAATAGTTGAATCCAAATGTTCAAACATACCAAACTTTCTACAACAGTCAGCGACAGACAGACATCGTGAACTGTTTGTGAAAATCTTATCCTAGATAGTGAGATAGTTACTAACTACCCCCACCCCCTCGGGCCCCAATGGTGGGGATTGTTGACACAGCATTATAAACACTAGGCTGTTGCTGTGATGGGGTTTAGATAAGTCATCACACACATTTTGTGACACGAGTCTGTTGTTGTGATGGGGTTTAGATTAAGTTAAGACACTGTTCAATCAGGTTTTAATTGTATCTATTTACAGATTTAAGACGCCAAGGTTATCAACTGCTTAAAAAGTAAAAACTGTTCAGCGATTACTTGTGTAAAACGTCGACAAATCGACTGATTAATTAATTCTACTATTCAGGGGTGAGGATTTAATTTGCTTCCCACTGGGTTAGTCTTTCGTACAGAAATCTCATAGTGAAATTTTCCACGGAACAAAGAATCGAAAATTTTAATTTATATATATAAATCTAGACTGCCACAATCCCTTACTGTCGTGTTAACAATAACCATGAACATATTTGTAACACCAGGAGAAGGAAAAGTTGTGTATGAAATAGAAACACAACTGCGGAAAGTAAAAAAAAAAGTGAAATTCCACTTACCGTCAAAACTTGAAGTGATCCAACCCATTCATCCGTCGATACATGATTAAAGTTGTCCCCTTTCACCAAGGGTGTCCCCTATACCTCGGCTAACACAAGAACTGGCTTTCTGCCAAAATGCCCAACTAGATATAGGATATAGGGTAAGATGTCATATGATATCAGAGGCGGTTTTGTAGGTTTTAGAAATACAGTAGGTAAAGGATTCTTTGATAAACTTACAGGAGAAGGGGTTAGTTATACAACCGTTTAGGGTAGTTGTTTAATTATCAGTGTGAAGGTAGTTGCTCAACCTCTGGGTGCGGATTTGTAGTTTTGAGGGCACAGGTTGTGAGAGTGTGCACAACTGAGCGAAAATATGTCCAGGTTTTTGTATACACAGGTAATGGACGTGTAAACAAAGGGAAATTATCACTTGAGTTGTGATATATTCACTTAGATGGGCTGTCAGAGAGAGTTCTGTGATACGTAGATGTCATAGGTTGTCAGTTGAAAGTGATGCTCAATTTGTGATCAGTTGTCAGCTAGTTTGTGTTGTGGTCCCACTATAAGTGTTGCCCGAGAATCATATCTAGCAGTTAAAATAACGTAAGGGTAAAACAATTCCAATGAAAGAAACACCTTTGAAAACATGTGTACGACGTAGCTTCACACACAAAAGGGCTCGTAGGTCACAAGGCTTGAGGTTTGTGTGTGTGTCACGTTTGGGTGACGGTGGGGTGAGAGGTGGCGGGGGGAGGGGTGTGTAGCTAGCGGACCGGGAAGTAAAATTGTGACTTAAGTCTGTGTATATGCGTCAATACCTTGGATTCGGCGTAGGATTTTTATGTCTTTGTTCCCCATTTCACATTCCTTTAAAAAAGAATAAATTATAATCTTTTACCTTTGGTAAAAATAAAAGATATGTCCAATACATAGATAAAAATATTAGCTCACATTTTTATGAATATTCATTGAACTTTCATTATTGTTTAATCCTAATTAGACTCTATATTTTTACCGTGTGTTATCATAAAATAAATTAGTAAATTAATTAGTAAATTAAATGGCAGTGACACACCGACAGGATACCCAAGTTTTAATTGATCGATAAATACTTATAGAACACATCACTCTAGTTTTGTAGACCTTAGCCGCGAATCTGTGCCCTAATTGTGTGCCATATTTGCTTTGTTTATAAGCCTAAAATTTAGGCCTAAATGTGTGCCATATTTGCTTTGCTTAGAAGCCTAAAATTTAGTCCTAAATGTGTAAAAATTTGCTTTGCTTGTAAGCCTAAAGTTTAGTCCTAAATGTGTGCAATATTTGCTTGGCTTATAAGACTAAAATATAGTCCTAAATGTGTGCCACATTTCTCGACTTATATTAACCAACCTTAGATCTTAACGTGTGCTACATTTTCTTGGCTAAATTAACCACCTTAGAACTAAATGTGTGTGCCATATTTTCTTGGCTAAATTAACTACCTTAGAACTAAATGTGTGTCATATTTTCTTGGCTAAATTAACTACCTTAGATCTAAATGTGTGTGCCATATTGTCTTGGCTAAATTAACTACCTTAGATCTAATTTTCTTGGCTTACAGGCCTAAACCTTATAGACACTGAATGTGTTCAACTTTTGAACGTGTGCAGATTTTTGTTTAACATACTGAACTGGTAGTTAACGTCATACGGTCAGAAGGTTAGTCCGCCACTGAACGGATGAATGACTTCATGCACTAATATTTGCCATGTCGGTGTCGTGTTCCATTCAGTGCACGCAACTTCTTTAGACCGGCGCTGTGGCATTCAAACCACACGGAGTTACTGCGTGGTATAGCGCTTTCATTTTATATTTTATATTTTATTTTATCCCACTATGGGTTAGAATATTTTAACACATGCGGTAGTGTAGAGTGTAGAGTTTTAACACAGGTGGTATAAGAGTTTCTGTTACGGTGTGTTCTAGAGTTTTAATGTTACTACAACAGAGTGGAATAATACTTTACATTAGAGAAATCTGGAGTACGGGACCTTTGCACAATGCAGACTCTTAAGAGAGCAATTCGTTTTACAATTCAGATTTTTGCGTCTTAAAATTTAAAAATCGATCGTGTTCAAATCTTGGCAGAATTGTGTTGAGGTGGTATTTGAATGTCTACTTACGTCAACAAAGGTACACAACTGTGTCGTGACCGACTTTTGTGTCGGTCTACATTCGAATGAACAAGCTCGCAGTAAAGAAAGACAACTCGCTAAATTGTCTTAAATAGAATTCAACAGTTAACTCCCCTAGGTTGTTTTATCCCGTAAAGTAAAGTTCTAACATTGCCATAAAATTTTTGTGTGATTTGTGTTTAGCTTTTTCTATTTCATATTTTAATTAATTTGACCCCAGAAGGAAAATAAATATATTAATAAAAACATTTGTATTTGTTGCATGATTTCTAATTAACGTTTTGATCGAAACAATTAATTTTGGTAATGAACACTTTATAATAATAAGTTATTAATTTGGTGAAAATAACGTTGAAAAAACATCAAACAATCGACATTGAACTTTTCCGTTTGACGTCAACGCGTCAAAAGGTTCGTTAATTTGCCATACCAAACCGAATATTTACAAATCATTACAGTAGGAATATTTTAGAAAATTTTAATCAGCTTTTTAAAAATATGTATACAATAACAATGACCCACGTGTTCACATTTTGTAAAGCTAGTTTTAACAGGCAAATATCTTTAGATTTTATCAATTTTTATCCAAATGGTTCGGCTGAGATCTCTGAAATTATATAGTTTTCAATAATATTTATACATTTAAAATACGATGTTTTTCAAACTGCTTTGTTAAAATCGAGACAACTGATGTTAAACCATACAATATGTGACATTCAATGGGTGGCTGGATAAATGGATTTATTTAACTTGATTCCCCACACTGTTGTCATGTCGTCCATCCGTCATATGTCAAAACTTGACAACAAAATTTCACCCACTTTTTCCAAACCGATTAGTTTCAAGCCTTTACACTTATGTCAAAGTCCAATGACAATGCAATAAGACATTAAATTTAATATAGAATTAAATGTTTAATAATTTTTGTAATGCTACAAAGTAAAAAAAAAAACAAGTGTGAAATATAGGCTATATAAGCTTTTAAACACAACAAAAAACAAAGCTTAATTCATATCGGGCTTGTAACTAGGTCACCTACTTCTCGTTTTTTTACTTGACAGGTAGTATTTTTCAAACCAAATGTGAATATATTTATCAAATCAGTAAAAAAATATTGAAAAGTTACTTCCGCTATTGTTAGGGTGTTTAAAATCTAAACAATTATAATAGACTAAAAAAATATAGGCTAACCTTTAGGATAAAGTATAGCTGAAGTTAAATTTTGATTTTTAAAGCAGCTAAAATTTTTAAAATTTATTCCTTCGAATCCCTAACAAGTTGTCCTTAACGTAGTTTCAATATGAATACCCTATGATTTGATTCTATTATTAAAAAAATATTTATAATTGTTGCATTGTGGATACTCTATGTATTTTAAACCTTTAATCGAGGCCTAGAAACAAATAGTCGCCTTTTATTTTTAATTATCATATTTTTAAATATATAGTTTAATATAATTCGAAAATTTTCTCTCTCCAAGGCCTCAGAGATTTCGAGTTTTAAGCTCGAGAGACCGAGACCTACGAGCCCTATTCGTCTAAACACACTTGTTCATATCGGACGTTATAGGACGACTCTGATTAGCCAGTCGTTTAAAACAAGAATTTTAATAGCTCAGAAGGGTCACGCTAGAAGTTGTTTTCGGTACACGCTGCTGTTCATTGCTTGTGCTGTTTTAGTCACTGGGGTGGTCAACGTAATTAGAGACTAATTCGTTTAGTACGTTTAACCCTATTAGAGAGAAAGGAAACTTTAATTTAAATGTATTTAGCTCCCCTCCCCCACGCATAATATAATTTTTGATTATCATGACGACAAATTGGACAGCTCTTTAGCAAAGCTCGTTTTGTTTTAAAATGGTATATTTTCTAGGAATATTTGAAGAATAATTTACAATACTAGTTTTAAATTAAGTTTACGCCATGATTTTGTATTGAATATTTTTACTGGAATTTAAGAATTGGACCACATTTTTAGTGATTTAAATAGGTGTTCTTCATTATATTTAAAGAAAATATAGTTTTTTGTGCATTTTGTTATACTTTGACCGATTTTAATGCGCTGAAATTAAGAAAATATCCACCAATTATCGCAGTAATAGTAAAAGGTTTAAACATCACAGAAATTAAAAACAAAATCAAGGGAAAGTTTAAATCCTTTAATTAATGCTCCCAATAAAATAGTGAGCTGTGCTAATATTAACTATTAACATTTTGAATAACATGAAATATAAGCGGAAAAAAATAAGAATGGAACATAACTTTCTGAAAGAAAAACATGTAGACACATTATCTTTAGTAAATATTTATCATTGTGTCATGAACATTGTTTGACTACACATTCAGGTTAAAAAAAAAGAATCACAGGACTTAAAAAATTTCAAATGTTTATTATTTTCTGTCTAACTGGCCTTAAATAAAACAAGTTAAATGTTTATTATTTCCTGTCTCTAGCTGCACATATAGAACGTGGTTAGTTATCAGGCAGTACAAGTATTTGTTAGTATTTTTTTAATGGGGGAGGAGGGGGGGGGAGGCACAGTATTCTCCCATAATCTTGTGTAAAAAAATAACTTTTTGAAAATTAATGGACAACTATAGTTGTTTTTTCGTAATATAGCCCATATAAGGCGCCGGTCAGTCGAGGTCAGTATTGACCCCCTCTCCGTGGACTTTTCGACCAACCGTCACCGGCCCTCGTGTTCTATCGCCCGAAGGCACCATCGTGCCAAATTTGACGCGCCTGCGTTGCCGGGAAATGCCCTATCGGGCACTTGACCACTTAGATACACATTAATTAAAATACTATGACCAAGAAATAAAAACGAATTCAAAATAAAGTTGTACTTTTTGTGGTGCCACTTGTCTCTGTGTTGATGCTATTTCCTTTTTTTCATTGAGAAGATATAAGAATAAATGTCAGGATAACTCTTGTCATTTTTACTTTCTCGTATATACGAAGTATAGTCTTGTAACCGTGCCAAAAAAAAAAATCGAGATTTTGATAAATCTCGACGTTTTACACCTCACTGATGCGGAAAAACAATTTTGTAATCTTGTCCGTATGTCTGTGTCTGTCTGTGTGTCTCTGTGTGTGTAAACACGATAACTTGATTACCGTTACAGCTAGGTTGATGAAATTTCATATATAAGCATTTTATCAAAATAAACTTTTTGAGCGATTTACGATAACCGGAAGTGGTACCTTTTTCACTTTGAATTTTCCAAAAGCCTATAACTTGAGTACTATTTCAGAAAGATAAATGAAATTTCACACGTAAGTAAAAGATGTAATCCTCTACCTTCTTTAAAATTTTGAGTAATTTCCATTGACCGGAAGTAGTAATTTACGCTATTTCCGATTTCTCAAAAAACGCTTGTAAATTTAATACTAATAATATTCCGCACTATTATGCACATTTTGTTTTGGCGTTCGCTTGGTGCTCAATTTTTTGTCTATGAGATTCTATTCTATTTTAAAACGTTTAAGTATTTAAAATGGATTAAAAATCATAACTATATCTCGAGTTCCCATCCCCTGTTGTTTGATAGAATATTCGAGAAAGTTTAGGGGAGATCACTCCCGGTTTATTCTACAAAGCTTTAAAAAGCGTCAAATTAAAACACAAACAGCATCGCAGATCCGTGTACTATACGAATTGTACTGATCTCTGTAAAAGTTAGACATTATAGTGATCAATAATTGTCTTGTACACTTCTGCACTTTGTCAACTAGTAAGATAAATTAATTGAATTGAGTTACTCATTTCCAGCTGTCCCCCTGGACATCCCCTTAACAACAAAAATAAAAAAAAGTTCAGTTTTAACCGTGGTGTCTGCCACCATCACACAGTTTTCGTCTTATTGTAACAAGTTTAACGTTAGTATTACAAAAATTACGATATTAAGGAAACATAAGTGTAAAAAACAACCTATCGGTTACAATTAGTATGTTAAACTATACTATACATGAATACATATTTCTAATACACAGCTGTAAAAAAAAAAATCCATTATTACTTCACAATCCCTAATTTAATGCAGGTTCTCTGAACTTTACTCGAGAGTGAATAAAATGATCTTGATGAATTCCTGTTGTCATTGTTCCGTGGAAAAATCATCTCATTGGAGAAGGTAGACAATTGGGTCAGAGATAATCTGGAGATAATCTGCTTCCGGTTAGTTTGGGGGTACTGGAGGAGAGAAAATTTGTAAAAATATTTAAAGAAAACAAAATGATATTTACATGGGCGGTTTCTCCTACATGGAGAAAAAAAGATAATTACATGGGCGGTGTCCCCAGGCGACCGTGTACGGCACAGATTCGTTGCTAGCTTGACGGCCTGACGTCGTTGATTGGTTGTAGTTCGATTGGTTGCAGTTCGATTGGTTGTAGTTCGATTGGCTGTAATCAGATGGATTGAAGGGCCGATAGAAATCTGTGATTGATCCGTTAAATTTATCGTAGTTTTTAGGATCAAAAGATCCATCAGAGTAGTTCTGTGGATATGGATAGTTCTGGCTCAGTGAATATGGATAGTTCGGCGGATATGGATAGCCTACAGTAGGGTTGTACTCAGTATCTTGAGGGTTCGGTGTTTCATCAGGTGCTGAATACTCCGGTGGTTCATCGGAGACCTCCTCCAAAAGCGTGTGGACAACTGGAACATAAGCACAAGACAATTAAAGAAGCACATGACATTTACGATCCACTTGACATTTAAGAAACACATGACAAATATGAAACACATGTTGTTGGTGTGGTGCATCTAGTGTTATGTAACGTTGGTGAAGTGCTGGGTAATATTGGATAATGGTTGTGTTTTCTGCTTCACACAGTACATGATCACACTAGGCCAATGTTTGTGTTTTCTGCTTCATACAGTACATGATCACACTAGGCCATCATAAAGATTAAAGTCTAGCGACTAGTATTTGTAGAAGTCCATGTCTACCTTTCTTTGGCTACTACACTTTGATTGAGGGAAAGTGCTGACGGTTGTATATATTGCACTAGCAAAAGTATATATCTTCTATATAAATTCTATTTCGTTTCGGGGGGGGGGGGGCAAAGAGATGTCTGGAATAAACTCTGTTGCCGGAAGAAGCTGAAGATGTACGGGTGTTGTTGTGTGTGTTTTGTTTGTTGACCTATATACACTGCATAACAGGAATCATCTGCTTTAGCACATAAATAACACGAACATAATTATCTGTGTCAAAAACTTTAATTTTAAATTACTTACTATACGGATTGCCATTGGAACCAATTGCACGAGGCCTATCATAGCCAACGAGATCCTTGTTGATGAATTCGTGAGCTTTCTTAGAGTGGTATCTCCAACAGGCGATGGCCACCAAAACGACTGCAATTAGAACCACACCACCACCACACGACAGACCAACAATCAAAGGCATCTTGGTGTCTACTGAAATACACATAAACATATATATATATATATATATATATATATATATATATATATATATATATATATATATATATATATATATATATATATATATATATATGGAAATCTGTTAAATAGTGAACCATTTAATTAGTAATCGTGATTCATTATTTGCGGTATATTTAGCATTTGTCAATATCTTTATTATTTGTACATTCCAATTTCCCTTGTGTATTTAGCAAGTGTACATGTTGTTAGTTACTGTAAATTACCAGCATCTTATCTGCATACGCTACGCCTTGTTGTGGGTTGCTATGATCATCTTTCAGTACTCACCTGCTTTAACGAACGTCATCGTTGACGTCAGCTTGTAGCAGCCAGTGACGTGCTTAGCTCCACACACACAGGAACGACCGTACGTCTCTTGAGTCACCTCCACCCTGTTGATGACTTGGTTTCCCTTCGCCAAGTTCGACTTTGACAGGCAGTCCAGGTATATGTCGTACTCGTTGGGCACCCCGCCATCCACGACACATCTGACATATATCATCTCACCAACACTCACCTCGGCGTCAAATGTGCCAGATCTTGTAGGATGTTTGTCAGTTTGTATCCAAGGAGCTGTCAGTAACGGAGCTGTAAGTGTAAAGTTTGGTGCATTTTTTTTGTGTTTGTATTTGGGCAATTAAAAGACCTGTTACTGTCAAATCTTTTTATATGAGCAGCCTAAGCACATCCCGTTTGTAATTGTAGTTCTATGGCAATAGAATGACGTAAACACGTTAGCATTTAGTGAATAAAAACCCACTTAAAATGTATAGAGTAATCTCTGTGTAAGTTGTATAGCCAGAAAAAATAACGTCTCAAAGCTTTACATCTAACGTTACTCAGCGTTTTTGACATTTACGAAAAGAAATGTTCTAGATCAGGGGTCTCCAAACTTTTCAGCCCGAGGGCCGCATTGACTATCAAAGTTCAGTTCGGGGGCCAGTTTCTTCCAGGCATGTCTTTGATTTTTCTGAGCAAAGTTCCTCAACTATCACCAACAAACGTTTTTTCCGTAGACAAAAAGATCTCCGCGGGCCGGATGAGCGGACCTCGCGGGCCGCATCTGGCCCGCGGGCCGTAGTTTGGAGACCCCTGTTCTAGATCTATGAGCTGCAGACAAATATAGCTCAGATAGGAAAAAAAGGAAATAGGCTTTTATTATTATCACAAATCATAAATAAAGCGGGAGTGATCTCCCCTAAACTTTCTCGAATATTCTTATATAATACTACGGGGAATGCAACTCGGGATATAGAATATGGACATGATTTTTAATTAATTTTTAATTACTTAAACTCTAAAAAATAATAGAATTTTGTAGAAAAAAAATTGCGCACCAAGTGAACAGCAAACAATATGTGTATAATAATGCGGAATATTAGTACTTTATAAATTCATATGTGTTTTTTGAGAAATCGGAAAAAGTGTAAAGTACTACTTCCGGTTAACGAAAATTACTCAAAATTTGACAGAAGGCAGAAAATTAAGTATTTTATGTACAGGTGAAATTTTTTTTATCTATCTGAAAGAGTACTCAAGATATACGCTTTTGAAAAACAAAATGTAAATAATTTCCACTTCCACTTTTCGAAAATAGCTGAAAAGTTGATACAGAACTACAGATTTAATTTCATCAACCTAGCTGTAACGGTACTGAAGTTATCATATTCGTAGACATACACACAGACATACAGGCAAATATAAAATTGCAAAATTAAGCTTTTCCGTCGAGATTTGTGAAAATGTCGATTTCAATTTTTTTTGCACGATTACAATACTTCCTCTATACTTCGTATACGATAAAGTAAAAATCACAAATAAGAAAATGAACTAAAATGTAAAAAGTAAATTTAAAATGTTGCAACCTTACTAAATGTATATGCTGTCAGGACTAAAAGTAAAATCGATGACAATTGAACATAGGTCTTATATTATGTTATAGAACGTACACATATCAATGAACTTCTATGAAAGGGGATATATCTATATATATATAAAACGAAGTGTACTTCCCGGCACCTTAGGCGCTTCAAATTTGGCAGGGTCCTGCCTTGGGGCGAAAAAACACGAAGACCGTTGCCGGTTGGCCGCAAAAGCCAAGGTCAAAACTGACCACGACTGACCGGCGACTTATATGGGCTATATTACGAAAAAAACATTTTGCCGAACGACCCCCCTTGATATTATGTGAGGTGGTTGGAGAACGACTAGGGGTGTCATAAAAAAACTCGGCATATCTGGGAAAACTTCGTAAAGTGGTCAAAACTGACCAGTTGTATTTCCCAATATAATCTTTGTATGTAATTACTCAAAACTATTTAAACTTAGGGCCTAAGCACTCCACATAATAGCCAATCACCAATTAATTAATTATTGGAATTCTTAATTTCTTTATTTTAAAACCTAAGCGAAGCTATGCAGTATGCCTAGTTCTCCATAAAGCCTTTTCCTTAACATAATTTTTTTATAATAATTAGTTTCCGCTTGTTAGTCATTCGTTCGAAAAAAAATGTTGACACTAAATAGGCTAAGACTAAAATATTTTTGGCTAAAATCCGCCCAGTAACATGTGATCTGTAAAATTGAGTTTTCTGCCCTTAATTATTTGGTAGTCAACGATTGGGCATAAAACAGCCACCTGTGAACAGAGTTCACTCTCGACAGCAATTTGAACAAATGATTGCTTGTGTTATATATTTTTAAATTTTTATCTTGCTATCTCCCCTTTTATGATTGAATAAATTAATTTTTGAATAACATTTTTAATGAATAATTGTCGATTTGATTGGAAACAATCGGATAATGGGAAGCCCAAGATTTGCGGAAACACAATCACACACACACACACACACACACACACACACACTGTCACATACCCTCACACACTCACACATTCACAGAGAAAGAGAGAGAGAGATTTATCCTGAAACTAACCTCTGATGTAGATAGATCTATCCTGAAACTAACTTCTGATTTTGATAGATTTATCATAAAACTAACCTCTGATGTTGATAGATTTATCGTAAAACTCAGCCTTGATTTTGATAGATTTATCCTAAAACTAACCTCTGATGTTGATAGATTTATCGTAAAACTCAGCTCTGATGTTGATAGCTTGATCCAGAATTTAACCTCTGATGTAGAGATGTAGATAGATTTATCCGGATTGTCCAGAAACTAATCTCTAGATAGATTTATCCTGAAACTAACCTCTGATGTAGATAGATTGATCCCCAACCTAATCTCTGATGTTGACAGATTTATTTTGAAACTTATCTCTGATGTAGATAGATTTATCCTGAAACTAACCTCTGATTTTGATAGATTTATCCTAAAACTAACCTCTTATGTTGATAGATTTATCGTAAAACTCAGCTCTGATTTTGATAGATTTATCCTAAAACTATTTGATAGATCTATTGTGAAACTCAGCTCTGATTATGATAGATTTATCATAAAACTCAGCCATGATTTTGATAGATTTATCCTAAAACTAACCTCTGATGTTGATAGTTTTTTCGTAAAACTCAGCTCTGATGTTAAAAGATTTATCGTAAACTAACCTCTGATGTTGATAGCTTGATCCAGAATTTAACCTCTGATTTAGAGATGTAGATAGATTTAGCCAGAAATTAACCTCGGATGTAGATAGATTTATCCAGATTATCCAGAAACTAATCTCTAGAAATCTAGATAGATTAATCCTGAAACTAACCTCTGATTTCGATAGATTGATCCTTTCTTTGAAATATCTCGGGGTAGATTAGGTTCTCGGCCAGACAAGAGAACGTGTGCTTGCCGTATGACTTTGGGTAGACAGTTTTCTGGTGACCGTAAAATTGAATACCGGACAGCTGGCCATGCGAAGTTGAAATAGTCTCTGTATCTTGCATTATTGTAAAGTATGGAAACTCGTTGATCTGCAGAGCCCATCCAAAATTAAAACAAAAAGCTATCAATTGTCTGATTTAGACACACAAACAGACATATATATATATATATATATATATATATATATATATATATATATATATATATATATATATATATATATATATATATATATGTATATGTATATATAAATACTTTTATATACATGCACTTCGTGAAACATACAAAGCAAGGGAAATCAAGACTTGCAAAATTTACTTTAATTAAAAAAAATTAAAAAACAACATTTTGACAATGACTTTTAATTAACACTAGTAATTTTTTTTAGCAAAAATCACCTATGCTAACTAGGCCGATCTTAACACTTCTCAACCTCCATCAGTAAACGTTATCACATATCTCACATGAAATCACATTATTCCATTCCCAATCTTAACACTTACTCTAGCGTAAACCATTGTTTTTTTAGCATAATATCCCTTAGGAAATGTCTGTTTTTTAGCATAATAAGCCTTAGACCCTTCCCCTACAGGTAAGTGGACGCGCACTAAAAGTTTCCCTTTCACCTGGTTGTAGGGCACTGTACAGTTGATCGTAATGCCTGCCGAGCCTGGACAATCATCATAGTAGCTGTCTGATGGAGTCAGGATCATGTCAAGAGCCCCTGGTCCAACTAGAAATAGAAAAGCTAGCCTGATCATATTTGTCAAGTTAAGACTTAATAAAAATTAAGGATTAATTTATTAATAATGGCAACAACTAATGCTATAGAGGAAAATAAAACGTATATATTAATTAGGAATTAAAGCTTATCAGAAGGTATACATTGATAATGGCGAGTGCTGCAAGGAGCATGTATCTGCATCTGCTTTTGACAAAAGTAAATTTGGGTTTTCTTTTTAGTTTTATCTTTTTTTTCACAAATTTTATTTACTTTTGCGGGGTGATATTTAAAAAATTAAATGAGTTTTTTATATTGTAATTAAAATCATATTGGTTGATTTCACAAGGTAGCCTAGATATTTCAGTTAATTTCAAAACGAAATTTATGTAAACGCAGCAAAGTTAGTAAATGGGCCTTCCACAAAAATCAGCAGCTTACTCAGTGTATTTTCTAAGCTATACTAGTAATAATGAACGATACACTGTCTAAACAACCTTACATTTTCAACTTTATGTACTTAAATCACTCAATTAAATCATACATTTTCAGTAAAGTTACAATGTAATATGAATAGAGCTTTCACTTACAAATTGTTTTTGGCGTAAATGTGTTGGAGCTGGAAGACAGGATATTATTTTGTAGAATTGTGTAAACATCACATACGTAGACTGGGTTTGGATCTGTAGGAATTCGTTAATAAGGATGTTAACTTTCTTTAATAAAATGTTAGCAAAAAAGAATAAATAATACTTGATTTTATTAAGCCAATACTAGATGTTGTAACACATTTTTACCTAGTAGTTAAACTATGACATTTTGTGCATGCTACCATTTCAATAATTTTCAAAAAATAGATGCAGCTGTGTAGTTCATTATTTAAAAATAATTTCTAAATTGCATAATCATGATTAATATTCAAAATTATATGTAGAGATTGCTGTAAACTATTTACTTTGTGACGTCATCTGTACAGTCAGCACTTGTGAACAGTCGTTACCAGTAGATAACACGCCCGTATTGTTGGAATACCATCTGGGTTGTCCTGGAGGATATCCTGGGTCATCTAGGTAGCACGTGCAGCTGACCGTATCTCCAGCCTTCACCCCAACGCTGGGGCAATTTATTGGTTTGACCGTTGGAAGTCCTGACGAAATTGACAGAGATAACAGGACAAGGACAGAACAAATTAAATAATTTAAATAGAACAATCATAATATATATATATATAAACCCATGCGCGCACTTCTCTCTCTCTCTCTCTCTCTCTCTCTCTCTCTCTCTCTCTCTCTCTACGTTTGTCTGCATGTCCCGAGGCTATGAGATCAGTATCTTCAGCAATATATGGAGAACGTAAAGATACAGACTTTTATTGAAAAATATGTTGTATATATTAAATGTATAAACTAAATTTTATTTAAAGAAATAAGATTAAAATAAAGGCATATTCGAATGTAGAAACACGTTTTTATTTATGGAACCGGAAGAGTGTTTATGGTTATGACAAGAATTCCAAAAACGTCTCACATGGAAAGTATACAACACGAATGGCATCATCTTCCAAATTAAAAATAAAATCTTCCAATTTCAGAATATGAAGAAATGAACTATTTCATTCAAATTTGATTTAGATCTATAGATCTACTTATCAAGACGTTCGCTATGAAATGTACATTATTTTCTCGGCCTAAACTAATAGAAATTACTTTTAAAAACACCATTAATACCATTGACAGCCGGGTTTTAAACGGAATCATTAAAGTCTCAAAATCTATGCGTGCATTTAATATGGTGTTGTGTTGACTAATAATGTATATAATTTAGTTTTTCTAATAGGTATTGATAGCTTTTGTTATTTTAAATGTATCGGATTTTTAGCTATATAGTTATTTCTTTGCTTTGTCACTAATATCGTTCAAAGGGGGTCGGCATGGTCGAGTCGGTAAAGCTCATGGTTGCTAAAACGAAAAGTTTCGAGTTCAAACCCTCGGGCAGATGAGGCTCGTTAGCTGGGGACAGCCACTCTTCTAGAAGAAACAACTCCAAAATCAAACAACTGCTGCCTTGTAGTTTGTTCTTGGTTGGACAATGGCTATGGAAGCAAATCCAAAAAGAAAACCAGGCTGAAATCGGAGTCAATGGCATCATAACCAGTTGATACGTAATCCTTAATTGTGATGTAAGCATGGTCGAGTCGGCAAAGCTCATGGTTGATAAATTAAAAAAAAAAGTCTCGAGTTCAAACCCTCTGGCAGATAAGGTTCGATCCCTCCCAACACTAAAAAAATTAAGAACGAAGAAGAAGAAGTTCAAAGCACATAGTAAAGCACATTGCGTTTAGACCAAAATCTATTTTATAATTTTTTTTTTCAAACAAGTATAACATGAAAAATATATCGGAATATAATTCACTTAAAACTAGTACCCATGGCTAGTACTTCATATAATTGAAATAGATGACATACTGATTACAGTTGATTAAAATAGAAAAACAATGTATTGAAAAAAACTGAGGCAAACGTACTCAAATTGACTACAGCACTTGTGTTTGTAATTCCAATGGCGCTAGCTTTTTTTTGTTCGTATTTTTCCACTTCACAGACGGCTGGGGCGATAGTTATAGTTAACTGTTCGTCTCTCGGGATTAGGTTATTCAGTTTCTGAATATAAGTGCATGTGAAGATGTCGTTCCGTACAGTGATGTACACATTACCACCCAAGTCGTTGCCTGTTTGCTGCAGATGACACCAGACAATGAAGCATGATCAGTTTATCGTGAAATTTCAAATACATAATTATATACATAATACATATTTCTATTTAGTATTGGGTATCTCGAAATTGTAAATGTTAGATTTTAATATCTTTGTTAAAACATAAATGAAAAAAAATGCAATTATAAAAGTGTGTATTGTAGTATTGGTATTTTTGAAATTGTAAATGTAAAATTTAAATACATTTGTTAAAAATAAATAAAAACAAAGACAAGCGAAAAGAGTGTATTGTCGTAATGAAAAATCATGCTAGTTGTGCTACAATGGGGGAAGGTTGCGCAAGTACAGATACAATTGAAATAAATCGAATTCAAATATATTTTTTTTTTATAAAAACGACTATTTGTATTCAATCCAAAACACATAGGTGTCCCTACTATCTATGAAGGTAAATGGTGTAAAATTTGTTTCAGTCCCTCACTGCAAATCTAACTTGAGTTAATGCTTTTAGTGTTTATTCTGTAATATCAAATAACATTGGATATTAAAACTTAAAATGTTTTGATGGAAATGGCAAACATTTTATGCTAATATATTGTTTTATTAAAGTATTTTTTATACTGGAACAAAATGGAAGTAAAAAATCTCAATTAACACTAGTTAAGTTATAATAAAAAGATATCCAGTGCACCAGTAGTGTAATCGCGGTCTCGAGATCGTTCAATGTCCCTAAATTCTCCCAAATCTTATGTGCTGACTTTAGTCTAGGAACGTGAGAGCAGTATAAATTCTACTTCATCTGAAACCACGCATAGCTCTACGTCTTATGTCAAATAAAATAATGTAGGAGTTACTGATTGTGATAGGGACAGATGCGAATTTCTTTCAAACAACAAATAGATCTGCAAGTGACCGGACAATAAAGTGCCTTGATCTACACATACGTAAACAATTCACAGGGGAATCAGATATGACCGAAGGAAGTGTGGAGCTGTTGATCGTCAGTCATAGAAACAGTCGAACAGGAGACACGCTAGTACCTGGTGGGTGAGGAAACAATCATAGAAACAGTCGAGCAGGAGACACACTAGTACCTGGTGGGTGAGGAAACAATCATAGAAACAGTCGAGCAGGAGACACACTAGTACCTGGTGGGTGAGGAAACAATCATAGAAACAGTCGAACAGGAGACACACTAGTACCTGGTGGGTGAGGAAACAGTCATAGAAACAGTCGAACAGGAGACACACTAGTACCTGGTGGGTGAGGAAACAGTTATAGAAACAGTCGAACAGGAGACACACTAGTACCTGGTGGGTGAGGAAACAAATGGGCTGGGGTTTCATGGGATAGATTCCCTGCACATTGCACGTGAAGTTTATGTGTGTGAGCACATCATGGACGATGGTGTGGCTGTATATGAAATTATTAAAGTATTAAAGGTAGTTGTATATATATATATATATATATATATATATATATATATATATATATATATATATATATATATATATAAAGGGCCTTTATATAAACGAGAGCTATACATTGAATATTCAATAACACTTAAATTCAGCTGTTTATATGTTTGTTTTATTCTGAAGTAAATTGTTGGGTGAGACTTTCAATAATTTTACAATTTATATTGAATCACGGATGTGTGTGTATAGCGCAGGCCCTATGTTATATATTTTTTAAGAACTGTAAAATCAAAAGACAGCAACTACAATACCCTTTAATGTTAACTATAAATCCGTCTAGAAATGAGCAGCACCTACCGTACACCGTCAGGTTCCAGGTAGCAACAAGCTGGGCGTTCACTAGACAAGTCACGAGTCTGAGACCTCTCTGGACACTGCTTATGGTCAGCTGGCTAGTGGTCGCGGTGTTAGAGATCTGATAGCCTGGACTATTGGTGCAGGTACCGTCTTGTGTACACTCCACCTGTACCCCACCACCAAGTTGCCACGTGACATTCTGCCATGATGCAGGCAGTGCACATGTTAACGTCTGTGAAGTACCTTCTTTCACACACACTTGATTGATTGCATCTGCAGGGGACATCAGTCATTGTGTAAATGTTAGAGTACATGTTCACTAGGTTTAACAATTTTAGTGAACAGAAGCAAGAAAAAATATTTTAAAGTGATTTTGTTGCATACTGATAGCATATAGTCTTTATCTTCATAAATATAAGTGTTTCATATGTCAACAGAGTAGAGTTGAATCGTGTTTAAACGTAGTCATTTGATACATTTTTTTGGGAATAAATAACTTAACTGATAGTTGATATTTAGAATTCAGGGTAAAAATCATAAAGACGGTGTAATGTTGAATTATGTATACATTACCAGCTAACAAGACGCTATTACTTTATCTAAGGTGGACAACTCCACCTTCAGAGAAACTGTGCTTGGCAAGTAGGTAAGACCATAACTCCAAATTCAAATGTAAACAATTGTGAATGTTTTGCTCCATAATCACCGAAACCAAATGATACAACTCAACTCACAGATAGGTGTTAATTATCACAGTAATATGACCACATCAGTCGACAAGACTTATCGATGTGTTTAACTCGGACAAAATATATTCAAATTATACATTAATCTTTGCTTAATACATGCTTAGATATTTCACAGAAAAATCAAGGTATCGATATATTCACGTGGCCTCTCCACATTAATTAAAGTTTTAATTGCCCACATTTGTCCAGCTTCGTTAATTTACCGAATACAAAGTTTTGTGCATAGCGTAAACGTCCATTACTTACATACGTGATGACAGAACAACGTCAGACACAGGAGTCGCCAAAGCATTTTCTCAAACTTTGGATATCTACAGGAAATCAAATGTAAAGTAAACGCAATAAGATTAATTTAACAGCCTTCATTGTTAAAATATTGTAATCTCGTAATATATTTTCGAACTTTGGATATCTTCAGTAGATAAATAAATCATTCTGGTGAGGCAAGTAAAATAGAAATAAATCATGATCCTTGGACATAAATTATCTTCTTAATGATAATGCAAATCGTTAATGACAGCATCATACCATTAATCCGCTTGTTTTATAAAATTAGAATACATACATTTGTTTTTCGTTAGATCTTATTCAAAACTAAACAATATGAACTTACATATTTCACGTTGAAAATAACATGTTGTTATCTTAAAAAAAATATAGTTTTACCCACTTAAAAGTTTATAAAAAATTCTTCTTGAAAATTGATAATTGACACATCTAATTTCCTGGTTGTTTAAGGTTTTATGTATGACTAAATTTTTTTCTACACCAGTGTGTTCTCCCCTGGTTTATAAATAAACTTCTAGACACGGTAAGTTAATCAAGCGAGATATTTTTTAAACCGTAGACACCTGGCCGTGCCAAACTCTACTGGATTTTATTTTTAAGGGGCTTTAGAAATATTTTATTTTATTTGAATTTGATGGGGAGTGGCGGGGAGTATGACATCAGAAAATGTTAGCCATAAACTTTTTGAGGATTGAAGAATACAAAACGTTATCTTGAAACCCTAAACAACAATGTGGTCGTAGAGATAGCTGAACACTGGGGCTACATGAAGGTCAGCTACAAATTGGCCCTAACAAAATAGTCTCAAACAAACAACATTGATAAAATGGAGTCTATCAAATAAAGTATGTAGAATCAATACTCGAGTTTTGGTTGGCTCCAATACATTGATAATTTTTCTGTCCGAACTAGTTTTAGTTGATGATCACGTGATTGTACACATCATCACGTGACCAGTTGGTATGGACGTCTCCCCACATTTCTCATACAAAAGCTCAGTCAATATGTGTTTGGAATGAAAAGAAAACGTCCCCAGTGATTTGAAGCAAATGACTTGAGTGTGGGAACCTACACCCTTAGTAAAGCAGAGAGCAGTGTTATAATATCTGCAAGCTTAAGGTAATAAAATGTTTAGCTTAGGACGACTAATTCCTCTAGAAAACTCACTTTCTATTCAGCTCTGGATGGTCGGGTTCAACATTCTATGTCGTAAAGTATTTTTCTGTTAATGTCGAACATTAGTAGCTTAAAGCTTGATGTAAGGGTAGGTTTAACTTAATAAGCACGTTAACACAGACTTACTTTGACATCGTCATTAAACCCGTCTTCCTTTGAGAGGGTTATTAACCCAACCTTACTTTGACAGGGGCATTAAAGCAGTCCTATTTTGACAGGGGCTTAAACCAGACTTACATTGACGGGGGCATTAACACAGACTTATATTGACGGGGGCATTAACACAGACTTACTTAAGACACGGGCACACGTCGAATGAGATACCACTACACATTTCACTGACACTCCAAGAATGGCTCTAAAATATTGAGCTAATTATTACTTCAGTACCAACAGTGGGGAAAGAGAAAGGGAAAAATAATACCAAACTTTCTACAACAGTCAGCGACAGACGACATCGTAAACTGTCTGTGAAAATCTTATCCGAAATAGTGAGTTAGTTAGTAACTACTCCCACCCCTCGGGCCCCAATGGTGGGGATTGTTGACACAGCATTAGAAACACTAGGCTGTTGTTGTGATGGGGAACAAAGAATCGAAAATTTTAATGTATACGTATAAATCTATATCTCCATTATCCCTTACTATCGTTAACAATAACCATGAACATATTTGTAACACCAAGAGAAGGAAAAACTTGTGTATGAAATAGAAACACAACTGCGGAAAGTAAAAAAAATAAATTGTACTTACCGTCAAAACTTGATGTGATCCAACCCATTCATCCGTCGTTACATGATTAAACTTGTCCCTTTAATCCAGAGTATCCTCTACACATCGGCTAATACAAGAACTGGTTTTCTGCCAAAATGCCCAACTAGATATAGGATATAGAGTAAGATGTCATATGATATCAGAGGCGGATTTGTAGGTTTTAGAAATACAGCAGGAAGCGGATTCTTTGATAAACTTACAGGGAGAGGGGTTAGTTATACAACCGTTTGGGGTAGTTGTTTAATTAATAGAGGGGAGTTAGTTGCTCAACCTCTGGGTGCGGGGTTTGTAGTTTTGAGTGCACAGGTTGTGAGAGTGGGAACAACTGAGCGAAAATAGGTCCAGGTTTTTGTATACACAGGTAGTGGACGTGTAAAAATATGTCCAGTTTTTTGTATACACGGGTAGTGGACGTGTAAAAATATGTCCAGGTTTTTGTATACACATGTAGTGGACGTGTAAAAATATGTCCAGGTTTTTGTATACACAGGTAGTGGACGTGTAAAATATGTCCAGGTTTTTGTATACACAGGTAGTGGACGTGTAAAAATATGTCCAGGTTTTTGTATACACAGGTAGTGGACGTGTAAAAATATGTCCAGGTTTTTGTATACACAGGTAGTGGAAGTGTAAACAAAGGGAAATTATCCCTTGAGTTGTGGTATGTTCACTTAGATGGGTTGTCAGAGAGAGTTCTGTGATACGTAGATGTCATAGGTTGTCAGTTGAAAGTGATGCTCATTTTGTGATCAGTTGTCATAGAGTTTGTGCTCTGGTCTCACTATACTACCAAGTTGTTGCCCGTGAATCATGTCTATCAGTTAAAATAACGTAAGGGTAAAACAATTTCAATGAAAGAAACACCTTTGAAAAGGTGTGTACGACGTAGCTTCACACACAAAAGGGCTCGTAGGTCACAAGGCTTGAGGTTTGTGTGTATGTGTGTCACGGTTGGGTGACGGTGGGGTGAGAGGTGAGGTGAGAGGGGGGGGGGGGTGTGCGGATAGAGCTAGCGGACCGGGAAGTAAAATTGTGACTTAAGTCTGTGTAAATGCGTCAGTACCTTGGATATGGCGTAGGATTTGTAGGTCTTTGTTCCCCATTTCACATTCCTTTAAAAACGAATAAATTATAATCTTTTGCCTCTGGTAAAAATAAAAGAAACGTCCTATACATAGATAAAAAAAATAACCATCCTTAGTGTAACCCTCACTCAGTGGGGATGCTTTTACCCACTGAGGTGTTGTGGTTAAGACGGGCTGACCCTGAGATTAAGTACACACCGACACCGACAGTTGTTGTCAAGTACTCGCTTTATTTACAGCATCGAGCCATGACGGCGATGCAACACAGTAGTACAAAACAAACTAGCCAAGAAGAAAAACCAAAACCAAATCCAAAAGACCAAAAGACCAAAAGCTGTAGCCCTAAAACAAATGTAAATAAAAAAAGTTACATTCCTGACAACACCATGTGCAGGCTACAATATACACGGGTAACAATAAAATATGTTTTGGCCAGTACACAGTACTGCCAACAAGTACCAATACGTAGTACTTCAAATAAATACTTATATTAATACTCACCCTAACAAGTGTGCACATGCGGCACTAGCAGGAATACACAACTAAGTATTTTAACAAACATAATTTATATAACTACCTTCATTAGGTCTACATCTTGGTCCACAGACAGCAGCCTTGCGTGTGCGACACGGCTAGGCATGAAACTACCCACAGTCCCATGTCACATGACATGGAACACAGGTAACATCGCTCACAAAAGCATAAAAAAACAACGTCAACAGTTCAGTTGCGGTCCCACAGGGGCCGCAACCTAATGAATAAAAACTTCATATTTTTATCCCCCTTGGCTGGTAACCATATGTGTTACACTTAGAACTAAATGTGTGTGTCATATTTTCTTGGCTTACAAGCCTAAACCTTATAGTCGCTGAATGTGTTTAACTTTTGAACGTGTATAGATTTTTGTTTACCTCACTGGACTGATAGATAACATCATACGGTCAGAAGGCTAGTCCGCCACTGAACGGATGAATGACTTCATGCACTTGTATTGCCATGTCGATGTCGTGTTCCATTCGTGTTCCCACCGAAGAGATGCCTGGAAGAAACTCTGAGAACTAGGGAGTACGGGATCTATGTACAATGCACATGAAGACTCGTAATCCAGCAATTCATTTTAGGATTCGGATTTAAAACTCAATCGTGTTCAAATCTCGGCAGAAGTGTGTTGAGGTGGTATTTGAATGTCTACTTACGTCAACAAAGGTACACAACTGTGTCGTGACCGACTTTTGTGTAGGTTTACATTCGTAAAAACAAGCTCTGAGTAAAGGAAGACAACTCGCTAAATTGTCTTAAATATAATTCAACAGTTAACTCCCCTAAGTTGTTTTATCCCGTGAAGTAAAGAACTAACATTGCCAGGAAAACTTTCTGTGATTTGTGTTTAGCTGTTTTTATTTCATATTTTAATTAATTTGATCCAAGAAGGAAAATAAACTATATCAATAAAAATATTTTTATTTGTTGCATGATTTATAACTAACGTGCTGATCGAAATAGTTAATTTTGGTAATGAACACTTTATAATAATAAGTTATTAATTTGGTGAAAATAACGTTGCAAAAAACATCAAACATACCAGACAAATTGGTAGATTTACCACATTAATTATAAAATTTCAGAACAATGACTTTACTTATAGTGACGTCACATGATTTTTTAAACTTTTTATAACAATAATGGCGGCTTCCATGCGATATTTTGTTGCCCATTTAAACGTTTAACGCATTATATAGCTACTTTTTTGTCAGCTATAGCTTTAAAGATATGTCCGTTTGCTATTTTTATTACGTTCCAACACTAATATCACTTTTCAACATTCCTTTTCATTTAAGTATAAAATAAATTTCTCTAGATCTAGAATCTAAAGATCAGCTGTCGAAGGAAGTTATTTATAGATCTAGAATCTAGGTCAAAACAAAATTAATAAGTTAAAAATAAAAACCATTTTAAAATCGGAATACATTGAGTTTCTTTATAAAACTATTTTAGTCTTAAATATTTGATATAAGGCTTTGGTTTTTGCTTTTTAGCTTCACGGATCATCTAATTCAAGAATACAAATGACTTATTTATCAAGGTTCTAGATCTAGCAAGAGTTACAACAAAACTAGACTTAACCAAACCAGTAGTAGAATCTAGATAATTCTATCTAGATCGAGTATCCATACTAAACTATTTCAGACCTTCATTATTTTATATAAATCTTTGTTTGTTTATCTATGGAATTGGCTAATTTAAGATAAAATTTAATTTGAAATATTACTAGATCTAGGGCCTATTCGCGTAAATAAAGTTTCTTAAGCAGATTCAAACTATTATTGTCATTTTGTGACGAGCCTAGATAGCTAAGGCGTTAGTATAATTTAAATTTTTTTTAGATGTGAATGATAAAGTTGCCTATCGGGACTTGGCGGGATACAAAAACGTCTGAGGTGTGACGTCTTTTTTAATGTGGGATCTGAGGGTTTTTTTTGACGATAAGTGACAGACGCGATGTTTTTATGGATGACCTCACCCCCCGAAACCCGCAGTTATCCAAGGGATGACGGGTAGTCTAGTTTGCATAATTAAAATGCGATGTTTATTCGGACTGTTAAAACTGCGACAACTGATGTTAAAACTGCGACAACTGATGTTAAAACTGCGACAACTGATGTTAAAACTGCGACAACTGATGTTAAAACTGCGACAACTGATGTTGAAACCTTACAATTTGTGCCGTTCAATATGTGTTTAGATCCATGAGCTTTTATTTAGTTTATTTCCCCACAAAGTTCTCATGTCGTCCATCCGTCATCTGTCAAAACTTGACAACAAAATTTCACCCACTTTTACCAAACAGATTTTTTTCAAACTTTTACACTTAAATCAACATCCAATGACAATGCAATGTGACATGAAATTTAACATAGAATTAAATGTTTAATAATTTTACTAATGCTAAAAAGGTATTTTTAAAAAGTATGAAAGTACACATATAATCAAAGCTTTTAAACACGCACCAACAAAATAAAAAAGAATAATAAATAAAACAACCAACAAAGGCTTAATTCATATCGGGCTTGCAAGTAGGTCACCAAAGTATCGTTTCTTACTTGCCTGCTAGTATGTTTTCAAACAAATGTGAATATTTTTATCAAATCAATCAAAAGAAATATTGAAAAGTTAATTCCACTATTGTTAAGTTATTTAAAATCGTAAACAATGATTATAATAGACTACTAGATGTAGACTAGCTTATAGAAACATTTAGTTAATGTTAAATTGTGATTTTTCAAGGAAGCTTGCAGTTTGTAAAAAAAATATGTCTTCGTATTTCTAACAAGTTGTTCTACACGTAGGTACAATATAAATATATTATTATTAGTAACATTATAAATGACATCATTAATAATATCAATGGGAATCATGTTCACAACGATTAATTTAGCGCAAACATTTTCTCTTTCCCTGGCCAACGAGATTTCGAGACCGAGACTTACAAACCCTATTACAATTGAATCGTCTAAACCAGGGGCGGATTAAGCTTGGGCGGGGCCCCGGGCTGAAACTTTTTGGGGGCACCTGATAGTATCTCTCTTTCTCTCTCTCTCTCTCTCTCTCTCTCTCTCTCTCTCTCTCTCTCTCTCTCTCTCTATATATATATATATATATATATATATATATATATATATATATATATATATATATATATATATATAGGACTGCCAATTGAGGTGGGTTTAAATAACACAGGCGCTGTCGTAAAAGTTTTTGCATTTTTTACGCATTTTTCTTTATAAACAATACCTATTATAATTGTGATGTCCACATAGACCCTTCCTCCCCAACTCTATCCATACGAACCCACAATCGTTAATAGTAGTCGTTCCATAAATTAATGTTTTCTTATATTCTCAGGATAAATCTATCTTAGTCGTCATTGAAATTACAAGATAATTAATTAGGTCTAACGGTATGTGGTCTATTGTGCTTTTTAAAAATTACGAGTTTGCAATTGGTGGTAGTTCCCACGATTGCTAGCTCAATGGTCTTGAACTCTGATCCCAGGCTTAAAAACCGAGAACACCCAACTCTGATGAGTACCTATCTTTAAAAAAAAAAAACTTCAGCGGCCATTAATAGATCTAAAACTGATCAGAATATCTCATAATTTACTGGGAACAACTAAATATTTAAACTTTACCTAATATTTTCTAGGAATACCAACTAGGGCAACTAAGTAATACATCCAGGGAATTTTAATAAAAACAAGTTAATAAAATGTCTAGTGACAATTTAAGCGCAATTTCCGTATGTTATCTAAAAATAGATAGTGATCACAAAGACGTATAATGCGGGGGTGCGTTCAAGCTAGGAGAACGATCGGTTTGTAGGTGTTTATGTAATTTAAAAAAAAAATTGTGACCGAACAAAAGGATATTTTTGAAAACTTTCTTCGACATTATTGTTTTAAATGATGGCAGGAATCGATTGGTAAATGTTTCAAGTCGCTAAGTGGTCTGGTTGTCGAGATATGGGCCAAAAACTGCATTTTTTGGAGGTTTTTTGGCTTTTCTGGAACTCCAGGAAGGAATTCCGGGAATTGTTTTGGCCTATGTTCATCCTCGGAACTTGCTTAACATATTTGCTTTGGAACTAGTCCTCGATATTGCTTCGTTGAGGAGGAGATACGACTTAAACCTGCTAAAGCTGCGGACACACATCCACACATCCATCCAGAAATGACGAGTTAATAATCGCAATCCCAGTATGGAAATTGCGCTAAAAATACAGGATATAGAAATCCTATACCTAAAAAAGCGACTACTCGCAAAGCATCTTTCATACCTTTCTTAGTAGTGTACGGGTAAGCAAAGACGGTCAGACATATTTTCATTGATTGCTCGGGTTAGTCTACAACGTTGCTTGTCTGAATGCTTGTGAGTGAGAGCTAATTCACAATGTAGGCCCTATCTGACTGAATAACATTCAATTTCTGTGCATTTTTTAAGAGGCATCAAGCATGAACTCGTTTGTTATTTAACTCTAAAACTAACCCATTTTATTGGCATAAGCGAACGCTGTCCGGACTATTTATTTTAGGGAGCGTCAGCTTCATGTAAATAGTCTATGGGGAAGAGGTGATGACAGCTGGTATTTATACCAAAGTGTACTCGCGTTTTATACCAAAGTGTACTCGCGTTTTATACCAAAGTGAAATCGCGTTTGATATTTTGAAAATAAAATGAAATAGGCTTGTGATTCAAATTTTAAAACATTGGTTTTATGGTAAAGAAACCCCAGCAATTTCTCTTTAAAGTGAGATTTTTTTCTACGATTGGAAAAGGAAATTAGGGGGCCTATAAAAACTGGGAGCCGCTGACTGCAGCCATCTCAGCCCCTCCCCTATTAAATCCGCCTCTGGTCTAAACACATTTGCTCACGTTATAGGATAAACATGATTAGCCAGTCGTTTAAACAAGCTCAGTAGTATCAAGGTAGAATTTGTCGATTAGGGCTCGGTAAATTCTGCTGTACATTACTTGTGCTGCTTGAGTCTTAGGCGTGACGAGGGTGACTAGAGTCTGATTCGTTTAGTAAGTTTAAGGCTATAAGAGAGAAATAAGACGTTCAGAAAACAACAGAATAGATTTAGTTTTACATGTACCTAATATCTTTCTCTTGCTTTATATATATATATATATATATATATATATATATATATATATATATATATATATATATATATATATATATATATATATATATATATATTACTGTAAAGGCGTGTATCAAAATTTTTCATTATTTGTGTAAACGTACCTGTCGTAATTTCACTCATGCTCATGCATGTAGGATCATTTTGAGGGAAAGCAGTTGGGGGTTGTCCCTGTTCGATGTTGTTGATACCTGCAGTTGGAGTGGTTGGGGGTTGTCCCTGTGCGATGTTGTTGGTACCTGCAGTTGGGGTAGTTGGGGGTTGTCCCTGTTCGATGTTGTTGGTACCTGCAGGTGGAGTGGTTGGGGGTTGTCCCTGTGCGATGTTGTTGGTACCTGCAGTTGGGGTAGTTGGGGGTTGTCCCTGTGCGATGTTGTTGGTACCTGCAGGTGGAGTGGTTGGGGGTTGTCCCTGTGCGATGTTGTTGGTACCTGCAGTTGGGGTAGTTGAAGGTTGTCCCTGTGCGATGTTGCTTGTACCTTCAGGCTGCGAAGTTGGGGGTTGTCTATGTGCGATGTTGTTGATACCTGCAGTTGGAGTGTTTGGGGGTTGTCCCTGTGCGATGTTGCTTGTACCTTCAGGCTGCGAAGTTGGGGGTTGTCTCTGTGCGATGTTGTTGGTACCTGCAGTTGGGGTAGTTGGGGGTTGTCTCTGTGAGATGATGCTGGTACCGCTTCTTGTGGGTAGTCTTGGAGCGGCTATAGATAAAAATGACATGAAATTAATTTCATCACATTTGTGTGCAACTTTGCTAATTTGTAAGTGTCTGTTTTTATTAACATCGACCTGTCTTTTTAAATTTCGAAAAGAAAAGTGAACCACTAACCTTGACTTGGAATCGATGAGGCGCTTGTGTATCTTGGCTCTACATAAAGATCTTATAGAAAACAAGTTGTATTTTGATATCTGATGTTTATTAAATGTTTATTAAATTGTATATGTTTATTAAATGTTGCCACTAAAACGAAGGAGAATAATGTAAACACGATCAAACATTTCGAGTTGTAATCCTACAGGTAAAAGATTTGTTACATTTATGACTACGACACCAAAATGCATATTTGCTACCTCTGAAGCATTTGTTGGTTGGTACCTATAGATTAGTCTTAGTACCTATAGATTAGTCTTACCTATTAGAATTAGTCTTGCTACTATATAAGTATATCACAATAGTGAAGCAAAATTTAGTATATATATATATATATATATATATATATATATATATATATATATATATTGTATTTTAATTTTCTTAAATACTAAAAAGAAGAAAAAATATAGAAAGCAACATATATTAGCCGTTATGGTGAAGACAGCTGTTAAAAGCATTACATATATGAAATAACCTGTCTTTACCCAATATATATTTTACATTGCAAGTGAACATTTACAGATTAATAAATAGATAACAAATTATACAGTACATTACAGACTATGTTGAAGACTAGCGTTTATTATATGGGAGTGTTATTTCGGAGATGTATTATTTACATATACCTGAGCTAAAAATCAATCAATTACCAATCTACTACCTACAGAAAGATTGATAATCTATAGCTAAGAGTTCCTGCTGTTTATAGTCTTACCGTTGTTTACATCTTGGGTTGCACCTGCAGTAGAAGACGCGTTATGATTTTGACCGTTTCGAGGCTCATCTCTTCGAGCACGATTTCTATTTGTATTTCCATCACTACCTACGAAATGACCCATTAAAGCGACATATAGTGAATTAAAAACAAAGAAAATAAGAAATCGACAACTGTTTCAACAGAGAAATTTTTACTTTCTAGTTCTTCATCTGGAACAGCAGTCTGCTCCGGTGTGGAAGGACGATTGAGATCTCCAACAGCGGCCATGTCACCAGCAGTACTTTGGTCACCACGCGCAGGTTTATTTCCACGTCTCCGAAGATACACAACAACGATCACAATCACAAGAACGACAACTGTCCCAGCAGCTACAGCCACACCAATGATCAACCCCAGGTTGCTGTTTACGTTTTCTATGAAGTAAATAACAAACTTTTCTGGAAGTGTTCTTTTCATGAAACATTTTATTATGTAGTTAGGAAGTCGTACTATAATATAAATCGTTTTAAAACTTAAGTGAGGTACATTTTAACACAATCATAAAAATTGAGACACCTTATTGTGCAAGTTATAAGTAATGAAATAAACAAGATAACATACATATTCAACTTCAGACATGATCATTTCTATTTTTTATTTAAAATTGTTGGTGAATGCGATGTTTACGTGTAATGTAGAGTTGCCTACCTTTAACTTCAATTACTTTTGTTACTGTAGTACTGGAAACGTTTGAGTTGCCAACCACTGTTGTTACTGTTGTTACAATGGGTCGCGATTGTCCTGAGGAAATTTATGAGCTTTCATATTGTTTCACGACAAACACAATAACACGAAAACTAATTTCGATTATTAAAACAAAGAAGTTTAATTAAATAATTACATTAATTAGGTTAAGTAAGAATATCCTACCAGAACCATCAGGTGTTTTTGTTGTTGTAGAACTTGTAAAGTCTGTTAAACAATTGTGATTTTAACTACAAGTCTACTTAGTTATCTATCAGGTCGACGAAACAATACATTGACTACATGGTAATACTTTGGGAACAGTGCATTCCCCCTCCCCCGTCAATTAACCCCCGGACATTTTCCCCACGTCATTACCCATAATTACCCGTCAATTACCCATCTGTCAATTCCACCTCCCCCTTCCAGTAGGACATTTACCCCCCGGTCATACCTTAAGGTTCAGCTAGGTTTAGAGCTAAGGTTTGAGTTTGATCTAGGTCTAGGTCTAGGGTTAGCGCTAGGGTTAGGGTTGGGGTTATGGTTATGGTTATGGTTAAGGTTGTGGTTGTGGTTATTGTTATGGTTAGAGTTAGGGTTAGGGTTAGGATCAGTGTTAGGCTTAAATAAATGTCTAGAGTTGGGTTTGGTTTTGGGTTTATTTTAGGGTGAGGTTAATTCTTAGGGTTTTCGTCCTTGTGTTATGGTTAGGATTAAGGTAATATAAAGGTGTAAAGTTGTGGGGAGGGGGGGGGAATGTCCGGGGGAAATGTCCCGGGGGTAATGTCCTGTAGCCAATACTTTACTGACATCAAACAATGATACACACTAAGGAGTATATGTTTTGATTATTAGGCAGAACCTCACCTGACAAAACAGCTGTTGGAGTTGTCGTTGTGCGGGGGTGTTCTGTGAAAAGTTTTAAGTTGTGTGAGCGGTGAGGAGACGTGGTAGATTGGGTGAGGTTACATGCAAACTTTTGTGACTGTACCGTGTTTTGCTTATTGAGACATAATGTCACTGTCTAATTCTGGTGATAGCGCAGATATTAACGTAATGTTATCGTATATACAGGTAATGTTTTCATCTATAGGCTGTCTCCTTGTCTGTCCGTATGAACATGACAACCTGAGTAGAGTTTTAGTTTTAAATATAAATGTTACTTGCTAAACGTTGGCCTTGAACGACTGCTGAGTCAACTCTTGTATTCAATTATAGACAAAAACCTTTCGTATTACAATTGTATAAAATTATTTGAGAGTAAAAGTCATAAAAGTCTTTAGTTGTTATAAATTGGAAGTACATTTACCAGTTGTAACAAACGGCACTTTCTGTTCAGTAGAGACTGAAGTAGCTGGAATTAAAAAAAAAAAAGACTTCAAATTGTAAATTTTTCCAATGATCTTTTGCGTTTCGTTGTTCTTTTTTGGGTAATCTTTAATTTACCTGATTGGGGTTTTTCTGTAGTTGTCAAAGGTCCAGTAAAAACCATTTGAGATTTTAAGTAGTAGCAGTTGGTCACGTGAGCTGCTTGGCACGTGCAACTGAAACGAATGGTGATGACGTCAATGGCTATCCTCATGGTCAGCGAGTTACCGGCCACTGTAGTTGTGTTGCTGAAACAGGTCATTGTGACACTGGTCACGGCTGGCTGACCCCCATCAACAACACACGTGACGTCCAGTGAATCGCCAATATTGACCTGGACACTAAACTTTCCAGAGTTGGGTGGATGTTTGGACGTGTACAGTAGAGGAGCTGTAGATGGCGGCTCTAGCAGGAAGATAATTATTTTCTGAATTTAGTAAAGGTGTTAAAATATTTGTAAAAACTCGCATTTCTAAATATTATTGACATTCATTATTGTATTCATTTAAGATGTTCAAATATTACCGATAGCCATTACAGTCATCGAACTTTCGGCAAAGATCTGTGGGAACACCTTATTCTCAGCCCTACAGTACAAGATGTAATTTCCAGGTGAGTCAATCTTAAGGGGATAGGCTCCCGAAAAAAACGGGTAAAAAAACTTTTTAATTAATAAGCCTTTTTTATTTATTTGTGTATGTATAAGTTAGGGTACTTAAGGAAAAATATTTGGATGTACCAGGGACTCTTCTGAAAATATGGTTGCCATGGTAACGGCGGCCATCTTGGAAAAAATACCTTTTGCGGAGTTCTAAAATTTCCTAAAGTAACATATAAACCGCCCATATAATCATTGATCTTTATTGTACTAACACCAATAGAGTCAGTATGCTAATTTTTGTAACCGAAAAACAGCTAGAAATACTTTTTTTCAAATTTTCAAAAAAAATTGTGGTGAAATTCCATTGAATTTAGAACTATTTTCATTGGAATTTTGTCACACCAAATTTTGAAAATTAAAAAAAAAATTTCTAGAGTGATTTCTGTTACAAAAACTAGCCAGCTGACTCTATTAGCGTTAGTACAAGAAGGATCAATGGTTATATAGCCGATATTTATGTTAGTTTATGAAATTTTAGAACTCCAGAAAAGGATGTTTTTTTCAAGATGGCCGCCGTTGCCATGGCAACCATATTTTCAAAAGAGCCCCTGATGCATGGAAATATTTTCCTTCAAGTACCCTAACTTAGATATACACGAATGAATCAATAAAAAGTTTTAATTAAGAAGTTGGTTTTTTCTGGAGCCTACCCCCTTAAAGGTGGGGTGGAAATAATATTTGTCGATGACGTACGGAGCCAATGTACGATTGGTTCTGACCGATCCCAGTTGGGCAATAAAGATTGGTTCTCTGTTGGTCTGTCAATCAAGATTTGGCTTTTAGTGGATCCACAGAAATATAACTTATTATATATATATATATAACTTATTATATATATATATATATATATATATATATATATATATATATATATATATATATATATATATATATATATATAATGTGTGTTTTTAAGTGTGTGTGTGCGTGTGCTTGGTTTAAATGTTGCTAATTGAACGTTTTTTATTTAAATCTTAATTCACTCAACTTTAAAATCATGCCCAACTGTTAACTATGGTTTTGGTGAAACACTAAATTAATTAAATAATTTACTATTATATTATTCTGCCAGTATTTACAAAAAATTATTTAGTCAACGAGTACAGTAGCCTATCGTATCCATAGTCTATCACACTAATTAAAAAGAACGTATTTAACACAGCGCTCACAGGGTAGCCCGGGACTACATGTCGCACCCTGCTGGGGTGCCGGCGGACACGCCTGATTCAATGTAGCGAACGACTATAATACCCCATCTTATCCATAGTCTATTGCACTGTTTAAAACGAACGCCGCCAATGCGAAATTAAAATCATTTTTTCACAGAAGCTTTCCTTGAATATTTTCACCCACTCCCCAAAGATTCATGGTGATCAGATGAAATGTGTAATAATGCATAAAGGACAAACCCACAAACAAATCCACAAACAAACGCACAAACAAACCCACATACATACTTTCATTTATATATAGTACGGACCTACTCAAGATATCGTGTGCCTATATAATTAGAATAAAATACCATTTCCGTTATTAACCGGGAATGGTTAGAAAGTTTAAAAGACGATCGGATGAAAGGTGTAGTAATGCATAAACTAACCCACCAAAGACATACTTTGATATATATATATATATATATATATATATATATATATATATATATATATATATATATATATATATATATATGTATATATATATATATGTATATATATGTATATGTATATATATATATATATATATATATATATATATATATATATATATATATATATATATATATATATATATATATATATATATATATATATATATATATATATATATATGTATATATATGTATATATATATATATATATATATATATATATATATATATATATATATATATATATATTTAGAGAGAGAGAGAGAGAGAGAGAGAGAGAGAGAGAGAGAGAGAGAGAGAGAAGTAACTCACCATATAATATTTGGCAGAGCAGTCAATGGTTAGTCCTGCACTGTCAGGGCATATGCTGTATGGGTTCGGTGCATTCAGCTCTAGATATGTTGGTCCAACTAGGTGTTGAATGTTAAAATGTTTGGTCAATCTAGGTATCTATCTATATTCTACTAAAACTCAAGTTTGTTTACATGTCTGAATATTTATTTGCTTGATTTTTTGTTTGTCTGATTGGCTACAGGATAGAATCTGCACTATGTGTAGATCTGTAAAATAGTATGTAGGCAGAGAACAATTTTTGTTTTCAGACAGACTGTTAATCACACATTTTTTGAAAGACGTTAATTAACTTATTGATTTATTCATTGGTAGATTAACCACATTAATTATACCATTTCAGAACAATGACTTAATAATGACGTCACATGATTTAATTACTTTTTACAACAATAATGGCGGCTTCCATCAAAGATTTTGTTGCCCATTCAAAAGTATAACGCAATATATAGCTAATTTTCTGTCGGCTATTGCTTTAACGATACTTCCGTTTGTTATTTTTATTAGGTTCCAATACTATTATGAATTTTCAATCGTCCTTTTCATTTAAATATACAACAAATTTCTCTAGATCTGAAATCTAAAGATCAGCTGTCAAAAGAAGGAAACGTTATAGATCTAGAATCTAGGTAAAACCAAATTAATTAGTTAAAAATAAAAACCAATATAAAATCACAAGAAATTATTGAGTTTCTTTATTAAACTATTTTAGTCCTTAAATATTTGATATAAATCTTTGCTTTTTAGTTTCAAGGATAATCTAATTTAAGAATACATGTGATTTACCTATCTAGGTTCTAGATCTGGAACTATAGAACGGGTTCGAGACAAATCGTGCCAATGTTATTTTTTTTCCAATTTTTTAGAACTTAATGATAAAGTTGCCTATCAGAACTTGGCGGGATACAGGGCAAGGGAAGTAGAGTTCACCTGTTTCTGTGTCCTCAGCATATGAAGGGATAATGTGATCAGAGTCATGCTCGGCCGGAATCGTTTTTTTTAAACAATAAAAATGTCTGAGACTTGGCGGGACACTTGGCAGGTGAAGTAGAGTTGGGTAGGTGGAGAGTTCACCTTTGACGTCAGCATATGAAGGGATAGTGTGGTCAGACCCATGCTCATCCGAAATCGGTGTTTTAAAAGACAAAAACATGTCTGAGTTAGGGAGACTGGGCAGGTGAAGTATAGTTGACCTGTTTTTGTGACCTCAGCATGTGAATGGATAGTGTGGTCAGACCCATGTTCAGGGGCGGAACTACAGTGCCGCCAGACCCCGCAATGCGGGGGGGCCCAGACCGATTGGGGGCCCAAAAATCCTGGCTAAATTAAAAAAAAATTTTTTTTTTAATTAGGTGGAGGTCGAGTTATCTTTCTTCTACAGTTACAAACAAACACGATAGTCGGCAAACGTCTTTGAGAAAAATGCACAGACTATAGCTCGAGTGACCGCCAGACATATAGACAACTTCAAAGACGTAGCCTACCGTTCTTTTTAGTGGCGCCAATTAGGAAAACAAAAAAGCATTGTTATATTGTTTACATTATTAAATACATATCTATGAGTATGTGTTTAAACTACTGGCCTGAATTCTACAAAAAATATAATTATTTATTTCGATCTCATACATTTATAATTGCGTTCATTTTTACTTTAACAACTGTATCAATAAACTTGTAAAAGTTTAAGTTATCTCCCTTCAGTGAAGCATCTGAAATTTGACCGTGCCGGCACGCTTTGAAATCGGGCTGGGGAAATGTTGCGGCGACTATCCTGGTCTTCTAGACGACCGGAAAAAGTCGGCACTATTGATGTAGATGTTTATCGGCGCTTTTTTGTCCCCTTCCAATGAACCTTCCCAACTCTCTCCCCTCCCCCCCCCCCCTCTCACCCCTACCCCTCACCTCTACCCCTCACCACACCCTTACTCTTACAATAAGATGTAATGCATAGATTAACGAACCGTCTATGAACTACTGAACTGTAAACTGACCACTCCTGCACATTTTGTTAAAGACACTAGTCAGTAGTTGTTCATTTACCTGATGAACAGGGGCGGAACTACAGTCCCGCCATACCCCGCAATGCGCGGGGGGGGGGGGGGGGGGCAGGCCGTTTAGGGCCCACGGCTGACCAAAATTAATATTTTTTTTTTATTTTTAATTTAATTTTCGTGCATTTTAGCCTTAATATTTGGTTTGTAAAAGAAAAACACTGTAGCTGCGGTTCGATTATCTTTATTTTACAGTCAGTGTTTCTTCCAGACTTTTTTCTCCGGGAGGGGGGGCACTTGAAATTTTCGGGGGGGGGGGGGGGGGCGGTAGACTTTCTTCGGGGGGGGGGGGGGGGGGCGGACACTGTTAAAAGTATATATTTTCTATATAAATTATATAAATTTCATTTCATGGAAGAAGCTCTGTTTACAGTCACTATACCACGCTCTTCCGCAAAAGATAAAATCCATTACACAAACTACAGTGTAAAATATAGGTAACTCTTCAAATTTTGAATGACTTCTTTGACTCGTTGCCCCCCCTTTTAATAGCTAAATAGAGGACACGTAACTGTTTGACCGATCCTCCAACGTGTACTGTCGCGGATGGGGCAGGGGATGGGGACCAAAAAGGGGGTTCAAAAATTGTCGACAAATTTTTTACATATTTAAAACAGTTATTTATAGTTGTATTTTTTAACCATCGTCAAGGCCGAGTTCTATTTCCCTACAATCAAACACACGCTGTCGCCGGCAAAATTCTTTTTAAAAAACAACAAAGTCCATAGCACGAAAAGCCGCTACATATGAAGTGGGCTTTCATGATGCGCGGTTCTTCTTTGCGGCATTGGTAAGGGACCCGAAATCCATTTTACATTTTTCAATGTTAATGTGTTTGTGATAGTGGTTGAATTTGTACCCTGTACTATATTGCATCCTACAAATAATAAAAAATAATATAATACTAGAAACTTCAGTTTTATATACGTTTACTTGTTTTTGCTTTTACAAGAAATATAGTAAACTTTTAAAGCCTATACTTGGAATAATCTCCCCTGAGTAAGTTTTACAGTGGGCGATGCTGACGTACATAGATCAAGGCGTTTTGTTCTCTCTTTCAAGTTTTTTTCCCGAGCCGACCCCTACCCCATCCCTCTTTCTCAACCTCACAAGTATCGAGGAGATAAATGTATCGTTTATGAACTACTTCCTAACCGTACGATTCACCACTTCAGCACATTTTGTCAGACAGATAATTATTTAGAAATTAATTACGTTTAGAATTAATTGAACATTATTAATAGTCAATTACTATTTATAAATGACGTCATTGAGGTGGGGGTGTGTGAGGGTCTGGCTTTTTGTTAGCCCCCCCCCCCTCCCCTAAATCAGAAGGTTATCCAACGCGTGACCTGGCAACATACAGTTGTACATGTGAAAAACAAGTTTCTGTCTATTAAGCTTTACTGCATCATTCACCCAATCGCCATGAAAACTTGGGAAGCTGTTCAGTACAGCCCCGCAAGGTTTCTGTCATAGGCCTAACATTTGTACATATTTGAGTGGGGACTCCTAACTGAAATATGTGATTTAGCGCCCCGTGATCCTGCATAAGCGGATGAGGTTACTACTTGAATACAACCGGCGGCAGTGTCATCCTGAGCGCATCACATATGAGCAAGTTGGCCCCCACAGACAGTCGTTTATAAGTTCCCACAACACTAGGAATAAGTCTCGCTACAACACTCGATGACTAAATCTAATTAGGTGTCGCACCAATGTTTCTTCCAGGGTAGACTGTTTTCGGGGGAGGGGAGGGGGGAAGCTCTGCCGGAAGAAACAATGTGTTGCACCCATCACCCGTGCAGTAATGTAACCGGTAGCTCCAAGAGCCCTGTGACTCCCTGACACCTGGGCCGTCGCCGAGGGATTTACAGCATGCCTTGGCGTGTCTAGTTGGTAGTGAGGACAAACCCGCGCCCTAAGATCCAAGAAATGAACTGCCGACTGCCGACATTGTTAACATTTAATTCAACTTCTGGAAAACAGGGCACACGGTTGGTTACGTTTTGATGAAAGCCTCATAAAAATCGGCGTCAGTTTGGAGTGTTGGACTAGATTTAGAGAGTCCGTGCTTCTCACATGGAAAACTGAATGGGGCCAGCTCGTGTGTAGGAAAACCTCTGATTTATTCGTGTACCGGATAGAAATTTTTTTGTTAAATTTAGAGCGACCTTTGTTTTCCATATATATATATATATATATATATATATATATATATATATATATATATATATATATATATATATATATATATATATATATATATATATATATATATATATATATATATATATATATATATATATATATATATATATATATATATATATATATATATATAGGGGCCCAAAAAAACTTCTGCGGGGGGGCCTTTTTTTTCTAGTTCCGCCACTGCCCATGTTCAGCCGAAATCGGTGTTTTTAAAAGACAAAAACGTCTGAGGTGTGTCATATTTTTGAATGTGGGGTCTGGTTATTTTGTGATGGTATGTGACAGACGTGATGTCATTTATCGATGACCCCCGAAACCACAGTTATCTAATGATAACGGGTAGTCTAGTTGTACGTTAAAATTATTGTTCCAACTAGATATTGAATGTCAGAATTATTGGATTCCAAGATGATCGAAGTTTAAAATTTCGCTTACAATATATATGGTACGGCGGTCCTTATTTGTTTTTTTTAAAATATAGAATATATCTTAAATCGGATCGTATTTGAGGGTCTCTACCAGAACCAGAAAACGCTGCATATGTTTAGATTCTCCATGAATAAATATATCAAATATCCTACTTTTACTATTAAAAGCAGTTAAAATTGGAGAAACTCCTTAATAAAAATGAAAAATCACTCAAAAACCAAATGCGTTTGATGAAATAATAAAGCGGGAGTGATCGCCTTTAAACGTACTTGTATATTTTGATCTGTCGTTTAGGGTTGGTGTGGTGTTATAAGTGCAATCGCGATATAGAAATATGCAATATAATAAATATCTACAATGATTAATGTAACAAAATTTTACTATCAAACATTGAAGATTTGATATTTAAAAATATGAAAATTATTTTTTTAAAGAATAAAATGTTCAATTTCATGTTTAACCTCCCAACACACTACTCCCTCACCAAAGCCATCAGTGCTTTTTCCCCAGTGGTTTTTTTAATCGCCCCTGGGGCGGGGGCACTTGATACTTTCGGGAGGGGATGGACTACATGTTTCTATGGAGGACGGGGATGGACGGGGGCGGACAATGCAAATTCTGTTTCATCTATTTCGTTCGGAAGGAGTGAGGGTGGTCGTGATTGTGGAGGGGGTGGCAGTGCTCTCGTTCCCCAAAGATGCCTGACAGAAACTCTGCAAGCCTGTACTCCGCACCATTCACCGTCAGCAACTTTCTAAATCTTCCTCACGCAACCCCAGCTACTTTACAGACAGACATATCTAACACTAGCATTATAAACACCAATTTGGCTTGTGGGACCTCTAGACTACTATGGCATGTACTACTTACATACTACTATGACATGTACTACTTACATACTACTGTGGCCACGAAAACTAATCGTGGATCTTTAACTTGTGTTGTCTGAAGAACTGTAAAGGCCCGACATTCAACGGAAACATCCGCTACAGACGCTGTGTACGTAATCCACCAGATTAGATATCATTACAAATACTTTATATTGCTGTGTACATAATCCACCAGATTAGATATCGTTACAAATACTTTATATTGTGTAGAAAATGTAGGTAAAACTATTCCTACCACCTACCCAAAATTTGCCGGAATGTGGCTGAACCATCTGTAACGTTGAGTGTTCCTGTTTTGTTGCCGTCTGCTGTATACCATTGGGCGTAGCCTGGAGGGAAGCCTGCATCACTCAGGTAACAAGTACACACAGCCTCGGCATATTGGGGGAATTCAGAGCTGACACAAGTCAATGGCTTGACCTCAGGGGATTCTAAGATAGATATACATCTTTTTAACTAGCGAAGTCAACGTTTTAGCAAATCTATGTACCATAAGATCTAATTGTATCTGCTAATTGGGTTGTGAGATATTGAGTTGGAAATGTTTGAGATATTTAGCACTATTTTTGTCTGAATAGAAACATACGTCTAAATTTGGAACAATTAAAGAAATATGAAATTTCAGAGGTTTGTAACCTTTTAGTGTTGATAGAGTGAACTTACTTAATGTAACCTGCTAGCGTTGCTAGTGAACTTACTTAGTGTAACTTGTTGGTGTTGATAGAGTGAACTTACTTAGTGTAGTCTGTTGATGTTGATCTATTGAACGTACTTAGTGTAACCTGTTGGTGTTGATAGAGTGAACTTACTTAATGTAACCTGCTAGCGTTGCTAGTTTTAACTTACTTAGTGTAACAAGTTGGTGTTGATAGAGTGAACTTACTGTTGGTGTTGATAGAGTGAACTTACTTAATGTAACCTGCTAGCGTTGCTAGTTTTAACTTACTTAGTGTAACAAGTTGGTGTTGATAGAGTGAACTTACTGTTGGTGTTGATAGAGTGAACTTACTTAATGTAACCTGCTAGCGTTGCTAGTTTTAACTTACTTAGTGTAACAAGTTGGTGTTGATAGAGTGAACTTACTGTTGGTGTTGATAGAGTGAACTTACTTAGTGTAACCTGTTGATGTTGATCTAGTGAACTTACTTAGTGTAACCTGCTGGCGTTGACCTTTGACACCATACAGACTGCTGTCACAGCCCTGGGGATAGACAGTCACAGACAGCTCCAACTGTCCAGGTGGGACACCGACCACAGACACCAGGTTTGTGCACGTCTTGTCCAGCACATCTGATCTGCTCACTACATGAGGGTCACTGACGCCGTTGATAGTCACCTGGTTTAAGAAAAGTTTTTGTAGACATCCAACCACAAAATTAGATTACATTCACTTGAAATTAAGCATTAAATATGTAATACAAATTAAAACCACACAAATGTAGTTGTGATACGGTAAGTCATGCCCCTCTGTTTACGGTCCTGTTTTCAATAAGTTCCTATACAACCTTAGAGGCGGGCTTTAAAAGTATAAAGGGTTGTAAACAATATATTACAGTTCGTGCAAGAGGCTCCATTTTATTTTTTTATTACACGAGAACTGTGTGGGTACATGAACATATCCAGATCTAGTAGTGAAAACATCGTTAACCAAAATGTGCAATGTCTGTCCATTGTTCTCAAACATCATAACGTGGATTGTTCTAAAACATCATAGCATGTAAATAACTACTCTGAAACGTCATTTATAATTTACTAAGGAATATTCACGGTTACTAAAACTATAATGTGGTTTAAAATTTAATGTTCTCTCCAGTCTTACTTCAACATAAAAAATCTAAGTGAGATTACATCTTTTTAAATTCCAAATTCAGTTAATTTAGCTAATTAAATTATTTACCATACTCATACTCTTTCATTTAGTAATTTACGTTTTTCTAAGTTATTGTTGACCATGTGTTCAGAGGCGTAGCGACCCATTCTGGAGCCCGGGGGGAACTATCAATTGTGTAACCCCTCCCATTTATATTACATTTATTCATTTTAGTTAAAAAACCGCCCAGCCCCCCCCCTACAGTTGAAAATGTTGGTGTTGCTTTTTACAAGTCACTACGTTTTGCTATTCTGCCACACTATGATGACTGTATAATCCAATACTTCAGCTTAAAATGAGGTTTTAAATATTTATTTCATCCTTTATGACGCCTCTTTAGTGTGCGTGCCCGGGGCCGCCGCCCCACCCGCACTCCCCTAGCTACGCTACTGAATGTGTTTGTTGGTAAAATAATTATACACAACTATGTTTTCATTGGGAAAGCACAGTTGAATACACATACAAGAGCTAATAACTCGCCGGTCTACTTAGTTCCCCTTGACAAAATCTGTAATGGGAATTCCCATACCTCGAACTCCTTAGGAAACGGATTGTAAAAAAAAATTCACGTTCTAAGTTTTTTCTCGAAATCTTCTATTGACATCGTGGATTTTTTTTATTAACGGAACTTAGCCATTTATAAAAAAAAAAAAACAAGCTAATTTTATGCAGTCTGTAAATAAAGAAGTTAAAACTTCTGCTTACTACTGATATTAGATCAATCTTTAAAAAAAACTATAATTCGATATTTGTGCTAAGACGATCACGAGTAGCAATTAAAAGCAAACTGAAATTTTTCGTAGACTACAGCACGCACTTTAAAACTAATTGAATTTTTTTATTAATTACACGTAATTTTTTGAAAGCAGATTGTACCGTCGAAAATAAGTGAGACGTGACATCTATAGTGTACCTAATAACATGTTTAAGAAATAAATATTCTTACATTGATAAAGCAGCTAATCAAAGAACTTGAACTTTGAACCCGGCACACGAGGTTAAGTTTGTATGACTCCATCAACATGGCAGGGGGGTCACATGTTATAGTGGTGGGTTTATCTGTATAAAAACATTAGGGGGTCGAATGTTATAGTGGTGGGATTATCTGTATAAAACTAATGGGGGGGGGGAGGGATACACATCTTGTGTTGGTGGGGTGCGTCACACTTGTGAGTTGTTTTTAAATGTTCTTATTCCAGTTAAACTCTTCTGCAATCACACAACAGACACACATACAAAAGCCATATACACATCCAAATAGGATACTACCCGTGTGAACATAGGCCAACACAAACAACTATCCACACAGAACTTACCGCTGCTGCAGTCTTGATCTGTTGACACAGGCCGATGTTTGCATTAGTAGTGGCAGGCAAGAGTAAAATAGTTGTAAAATAAAGTATAACACCATTAATTACATGGTAATAAACTTAGAAAGCTATGAATATTTTGTCAAGATAAACTATACTTTAAAGTAGTTTTTGACAAAACAAAAACAACAACAAAGAAAAGCAGATTAAATAAAAACTGAAAAAAATTTAACAAATAGTATGTATTCTGATGGTAACCCGGCTAAAACGATATCAGACCTACTTCTGTTATTACTTCATTTTAAAAGCAGTTGCTTTTAATGAATATAACATATGCTTTTAAAAACAGATCGGGATTCTCTAAGCCTTTTCATGCTTTAAAATCAAATTACTAGTTCATTACCTGCCCAACTTATACCTCTGAAACTGAATTGCAAACATTTGTTATAGTTGTATAATAGTGGTATAAAAAATTTTCTTTCACATAATTTTTAGAGTAGCAATTTATTTTTCGCAGCCTTAACTCACTAAACTTTGGATTGATAACTGTAAAAAAAGTAACACCTTGTGTTAAACATCACGAAAATATAAAAAAATGACTGATAAATGTTAAGAAAGAAAACTCGTAAGTTTTTATTTGTTAGTCGTAGGAAATATTAAAAATAATTGAGCTCCCTGTGTGATCTTTTCAATAGAGGGCACGATGAAGTCGATTTCAGTTGACAACAAATGACTGATGTCGGTACAAGAACAGTATCTACTGCTAAACATTTTTTACAGCAGAACGGCCAGACAATTATTTGCTAACATTCTGGAGCATTAACTTGTGTACTGGGAAATTAAACTATGGGAAATAACTTTCTATGACGTAGGTTCATCGGCCGCCTAAGGAAATCCCTTCACCTACATAAAAGCTTCCTCACATAGACCCTACAAAACAATTTTCAACACTGACGCCTCTTCTGGCCCTTGGAACGTATTCTAGCCTGAATTAAAATAAAATAAAAACTGTATAAACGGATTACTGTAAAACACGACTAACTGTGGGTTTTAAATATATATATTTTTGGTTCTCATGTTGATTAGGCATACGTTATTTACCGAATTTAGAGTGACAGAATGTGTGATGTATATTTTGGTGGCGGGACGGTGTATATACACAGCCATAAACGGCCGATGATCTCTGTATTTATATATGAAATATTTGAAATAAGGTTATGAACACTAGAGTAATCAGCAAAATACCATACAAACATTGTTTAGAAGCTTTCACGTAATATATGGGCCACAAAACTAAATTGTTGAATATTCAAATGAAAATAATACACGACAAAAGCCAAACTAGATTGGTGTCAGATAATGCCTTTACCTAAAATGTAACCACAGAAAAAACGTCGCAATCAAAACATCTATATATAATTCTCTTCTTGGAGACGATAAAAAACACCAAGCTGTAAGCGCGCTCCCTACCACCCTCACCCCTACATGGTCTGGTGAGCTGTGGTTCACGCTAAATGTTTACAATCGTAGAGCCGGGTTTAGTGACGGCTATTAGGGGCAGAAAATTTAGTTTGAAACGATTTTAAACTTAGGGGAGGTAACTAAGAGGAGTTCACTTTCACGGGGGGGGGGGGGGGGGGGGGTTAGGGGAAAGGAGGGGGGGATATCGTCCTTAGCGAGCTACTGATAGTGTTTTAAAGCAAATATTTTCAGTGGCAGCGTTGGTACTGTCGAATTCACAAATTATGAATTACTGAAAAGTAGAAAAAACAACAACTAAATAGCGGCGTATGATATGCCGCGGGTCGGCTCGTACTAAATAGCGGCGTATGATACGTCGCGGGTCGGCTCGTAAAAGTATAATGTGTTTCTTCTGTGCGCTGTCCAGCCTACCATGATTTGCTTGGTTTTAAAAGACTGTATGCTTCCATATTACGTTTTCACAAGTCTCTAATCAATTTTTTTGTTTCTTTTGGGCTTGTCATTTATTCAATTTAATCTTACCAAAAAGCTTTTAAAGCCGAAGAAAATCAAAGAGATTTGAATACTTACACGAATGATGCAAGAGCATAACCAAGCAGAGAAGTCGGCACAACATGTCCATCGAAGGTGAACTGGACTGCAACAAAAGTTGATCATCCAGATCTAGAGAGTAATTTTTTTAAAATAGCCTTACACAGTTCTGGCCTTTATATACCACTTATACAGCACGCCGAAACTAGGTCTATCTCAATTAAAGTTTATGTACTGTAAATATATTCTTAAAATATGTGTGAGACAGCAAGAGAAAAAGCTTTTGTACTTTAAAATGTTTTTTTTAGAAAACTCAAGACAAATAACTAACACAATATCTTAGATGAATTTTGATCGCCACATCACTCTGCGAGACAGGACAGTCTCAAACACCAAGTTACCTTAACATTCGCTATTCGTCTCAGCCAGCTCTATACATTTAAAACAACATCAGCGATCCAAAGTCATCTTTATTTTTAGCTTTTAATATTAGGAAATAGCCAATGGGGATTTCCAATTTTGAAGAAAACTTTATGCCTAAAAATTACAAAACCTTTTTTGCCCATAGAGTAAGGCGGTTTGTATGAATACCTCAGCGTCAATAAAATGCACAGTATTGTTAGCGTTTGGTGCGATGAAAGAAAATAAGATTCTATTGAATTTTGAATATTCAATACATATTTTAGTGTGTGTGGGTGGAAAACCAGGAATTTTGGTATTTTGTGGTGCGTGTGTGTGGGGGTGGGGCAGCTAGATTAGGATCGGTGCTTTGAATAGCGAAATATTTTCTGGTAAAATTTCATAGGCTAGAAAGTTAGTTAATGTGTTCTTTTAATATGGTTGAAGGTTTAATGACACATATACGACGAGTTTAATATATAGACAAGGGGATCCGTGAAAGAATAACCTATGTGATCGGGCCTTTGAGAACTTGTTAAGTATCGTAAAAGAAAAGAAACTCAGATGATATGGGCATTTGAAAAGAGCCATCGGCCTATCAAAACAATAGTGTAAGTCACAAAAGAGCCATTGGCCTATCAAAACAATAGTGTAAGTCACAAAAGAGCCATCGGCCTATCAAAACAATAGTGTAATTAATTAATAGCTTAATTAATCAAGCTGTTTTGTAATTTTGCCAAGGGGGGTAATTTAAAAATAAATTCAACTCACGCTAATACAAAAAAATCTGAATTCAAAACAAACACAACACAAACGCAACACAAACACAACACAAACGAAACACAATCGCAACACAAACACAATCCAATGGATTATCAAGCTGACTTTATTCTATTCTCAGTAGTTGTTATCGGGTCTAGCATTTGAATTTGCTGTGTTATTGGCTTAGTTGAACTCAACACCAAATTAACCACGTTGATTTGAGACAATAATTGTAAAAAGAAATTTTTTAACCGTATTCTTTTTAAGTGTTGTTAAATCATATTTATTATAAAACATTAGTTGTTTTAATAATATTACTGAATTTATCTCCCTTTACCAGCGGGAGCGGGAACAGATAGAGAGAATGGGAATATGAGCAGTAATCTTATCATTTTCAAAAACTAATTTAATGTGTGTTTAATGTGTGTGCAGTTAAGTATGTTTGTTTACGAAAGGTTTAAGAAAAAGTAAGGAGCGGTGCATCAAGCTACGCTCAAAACATCGACAGAACGTGATTCTAAAAGCAGTGTGGCGTAGCTAGGGTTTAATGGACTTGCCGATAATTATTACTATAAGTTTGAAAGATGAAAATTGTTTTACACCTTCAATATTAATCATGTTTTTTGTCGATGAGCACTTTAGATGTATAACACAATGTGAATGAGGTCTATTATTTTCTTATATCCCTTTGGTATCCGTGCTTACATACATACATACAGTTAACTAATATATATATATATATTTTTTTTTATAAAGCTCAATTCAGTATGTATGTAACTAAGGATTACAAAGGCATATAAGAAAAAAATAATACTTCTATGGCCTGAAGTGTTAAATGTCTAAAGTACTCATCGTTTAAATTCATGGTTTAAAAATTAATACTGAAAGTGTTGTAAAACAATTTTCATTTTTCAAACTAATAGTAGTAATTGTCGGCATGTTCATTAAAATATTGTTTTTAAATATAATCTTTTACAAAAATTCAAATTATGTCTGAAAATTATTTATATTTAGTCCTTTAGTGCTATTTACTTCCCTTGATGAATTAGGAAAACACAATCACTTCCCTTTAAAAAACATCACATCGGGTGAACAAGAATTTACTTTTTATTACTTTGTTCTGGTGTTGGGGAAAAATAATTACATAATTAGCGGGGATTGATCAAGTGCAATGTTGTAGGTGTTTTTAATACTGCTTTTTATTTATTCTATACAGTGAAGGGAATGTTTACTAATTATATTTTAAAATCAATAACAGTTAAATAGCCAACTCCTAAATGCCCCATATCATGTGAGTGTTATGGTGCATAATTTCGCTTTAAACATTGCGATAGACTATGGATAAGAAAGGTTACTATAGTCTTTAAGTGAATCAAATCCAGGCGTCCTCCGGCACCCCGTCAGGGTGCTATTTGGAGCCCCGGGACTTCTCTTGTTCGCTATTGCGCATATGTTCGTTTAAGTGAGTGCAATAACATATGGATATGTTGGGGAAATATAGTCGTTTACTGAGCTCAAACAGGCGGTTCCGCCGGTGCCCCAGCATGGTGCAATGTAGTGCCACGGGCTAGACTGTTAACACTTTGCGTTTCTGTTTGCGTTTGTATATATATATATATATATATATATATATATATATATATATATATATATATATTAGATAAAACATTAGTATATGGGACATAACAGTGTTAAAAAATCCATATTAGATCATCATGCTGGATTGCAGTCCCTGAGGATCCTAATTACTGTTGTTTAAATATTAGTTTTTTATGTTTAAAATTAGCTTAGTAATAGATTTATATATTTCAAACATTGCTTGTACACCATTTGTCGCATTCTGGTGAGTGCCCATTCGGGGAAAACAGCCTTCGGGCAAATGCCTTTCTTGCAGTGCCTTTCTGGAAAACGTCCGGCTCCCATATATATATATATATATATATATATATATATATATATATATATATATATATATATATATATATATATATATATATATATATCTTACATTACAGAGGAACGTCGGGGAATGAAACGACCGTCTTATTTAAAAAAGTTCCTTATGGTTGCGATGTAGAGATTTTATGTATTAATAAAACTTAAATTGTTGATGAATTTTAATTTATTGAGAAAACTCTGATAGATAAGTATGTTTATTTTGATCTGGTGTATTGTAAAGTCAAAGCACTTCTAACTGTGTAGACTTGTATGTAAGGATAGTAAGGAGTTAAAAGTGACGAAGGTTCTAAGCACATGATCAATTTGGTCAGAAGGGTCAGCTCCTGGTAAAACAAAAAAAAAAGCATTGAAACACAGAGAATAACAATAGAATATGAAATGTGCTAAGATGTGCTAAGATTTTAAACTTTAATTTTGTTATATAATATTCGGAAGTATAGAGTATTTTTGAGTATTTTTACACCAATATTGAATAAAGCAATTCACGTTTTGCATACTATTATTATGTTCTGTTCGATATGTGTACTGTTAGGGTAAAAATTATTTATTAAAACGTTTTAAACTTACAGATGCTCCCAGCTGGCATATCATAAGCTGACGAGTTGCTTCCTTTATAATAGTCGTCGAAAGTGAGATAACCGTGAGACCCACCGTTTGTCTCACTACCGGCAGAGTCAGAGTGGACAGACGGTGGTGTAGGCGGACGTTTGGCCGGGCTAGACCTTTTTCGAAGCACCACAACAACAACTACCACAGCAACAACGACCACAACAACACCGCCGACACCCAAACCAACAGCCAAGCCAACGTCTGAAATTATAATCATAGAAAATACATGATCAAATAGCGTGCAGGCGTTAATGAAATAATTATAAATAAAAGAATATATTAACATGTATTGAAATCGCTGTCACTTCCGTAAATACAGAAATGTCGGATAGAATCTTGTTTGACTGCGGAGATTTCTTGTTTTCTTGATCAAGCGTTTTTTAAGAAATAATTGTTAATTAATAATTTGTAAATTTTAGCTGCTGATAACAGCTTTGAATTTATAAATGTTTGCCTAGGAACAAATATGCGAAAAACGAAGGAACTTCAATGGGGGATTACCTGTTTCTGTATTTTCTAAGGACTCCAAGTTTTCAGTAAAAAACATTTGAGATTTTAAGTAGTAGCAGTTGGTCACGTGAGCTGCCTGGCACGTGCAACTGAAATGAATGGTGATGACGTCTATGGCTATCCTCATGGTCAGCGAGTTACCGGCCACTGTAGTTGTGTTGCTGAAACAGGTCATGGTGACACTGGTCACGGCTGGCTGACCCCCATCAACAACACACGTGACGTCCAGTGTGTCGCCAATATTGACCTGGACACTAAACTTTCCAGAGTTGGGTGGATGTTTGGACGTGTACAGTAGAGGTGATGTAGACGGCGGCTCTAGCAGGAAGATAATTATTTATTGAATTTAGTAAAGGTGTTAGTAGAATAGATGTAGATATTGGGTCTAGCAGGAAGATAATTATTTATTGAATTTAGATTTGTAAGTAGGTTGTCTATCATAATTTGTGTAACATATTTGTAAAAAATTATAAAATATATATGATATTTTTATGATTTCTTTTATACATACAAAATAGTACCTAAGGCTTTTACAGTCATCGAACTTTCGGCATAAATCTGTGGGAACACCTTATTCTCAGCCCTACAATACAAGGTGTAATTTCCAGGTGATTCAATCTTAAACGTAGGGTGGAAATAATATCTGTCAATGACGTATGGAGCCACGGTACGATTAGTGGTGATCGATCCTAGACGGGCGATAAAAACTGGCTCTTTGTTGGTCTGTAAATCAAAAATTTAATTGGCTGTATTTATGCAAAAAAGTTTTACAACCTTACTATCTGAGCAACAATTTTTACAAATAAAACAACTCACCCACTGATATGATACAACGCAACTAATAGTTAGACCCTCACTATTTGGGCAAATATAGTAGGGGTTCGGTGCAAGTAGCTCGAGAATTAATGGTCCATCTGAATGTTGTATTTAAAAAAAATATTAGTTATAAGATTATCAACAGAATTTGAAATTTTGATTACAACTTTGTTTAAAAGAGAGTATTTATTTACATCCTCCGAAGTTTCCCCTAACTCCTCAAACGACCCCCTCGCCCTAACTATAATTAAATGCTTTCTCCCCAGCCCACCCATCCTCATTAAGATTGCACATATACACGCCTTCTGCCAACTTTGTCTACCTTATCATAGTATCTCACCGACTACTTACATACTCTTGTTGCGACAAAGACCAATCGTGGATCCTTTACTGTTATCGTTTGAAGAACGGTTAACGCCCGACATTCAACCACCAAGTCTTCGACTGGCGATAGATACATAAATGAGGTTAGATTTCAATATAAATTACTTTCATTGATCAGACTGTTTGGACACAAAACATTATCAGCACCTACCCAAAATTTGCCTGAAGGTGGCTGAACCATCTGTGACGTTAAGTGTTCCTGCTTTGTTGCCGTCTGCTGTATACCATTGGGCGTAGCCTGGAGGGAAGCCTGCATCACTCAGGTAACAGGTACACACAACCTCTGATCTTAGTAGAAACTCTGCGCTCTGGCACGTCAACGGTTTCACTTTTGGGGATTCTAAGATAAAGTTGAATGTACTTTTACCATTTTACCAGTTTGAAATATAAAATACAGCTTTTAACAGAAAAGTGCATGGTTTGATACTCTTTGGACGAGTTCAATCCTAAGAAGTGAGGATAATCTAAACGTACTTAGTGTAACTTGCTGATGTTCTGTGACACCATACAGACTGCTGTCACAGCCCTGGGGATAGACAGTCACAGACAGCTCCAGCTGTCCAGGTGGGACACCGACAACAGAAACCAGGTTTGTGCACGTCTTGTCCAGCACATCTGATCTGGTCACTACATGAGGGTCACTGACGCCGTTGATAGTCACCTAGTAAAAATAAAAGTTTGTGGGTTATGTGCGTCCACAAAATTGATATAGCAATATCACAGCTCAATACCTAGATTTTGATCATAAAAACGTAACATCAGTGGCATGTATTGTTATAATACATCATAGCACACTATCCACAAACTCCACTAAAGTACATAGAAATGACTGTTGCTACAAATGATTAATTCATTCGAACAAAGGGAAGGAATTTTCCAACATTTTAAAGGTTTAATCATAAAAACCTTGACTGATACCAAAACTGTAATGTGATTAAATTGCATGTCCCATTTTGATAGGGTTGCATCTGAGGATAGGTTCCATTAAACGCTTTATTAAGCGTCGTAAATATAATTCAATAACCAAAACAATTCGAATATATAAAAGACCATGTGCGCACTTCTGTCCCTCTCTCTCTCTCTCTGTCCGCAAAATATTTTCACAGGCTATGATATCAGTATCATCAGCGATATATAGAGAACATGATAAGGAATTTTGTTAAAAATAATATATTAAATGTTTTAAATGTATAACCTAAATTTTATTTGAAGAATAAAAAATAAAGGCATATTCGAATGTAGAATGACAATTTTAATTATACAACCGGAAAAAAAAATGTTTATAGTTGTGACAATAACGTAATATAAAATGACGTCACATGAGACATCTTTAAACTAAGTCTAAGGAAAGAACACAAAACTAATGGCGTCATATTCCAATTTTAGAATATAAAAAAATGAACTATTTCATTCAAATTTGATTTAGATCTACTTATCAATTATACGTACGCTATGTTAATGTATCCAATACAATTTTCTCGACGTAAACTTAAAAAAAATTCTTTCTCTATTTGGATTCTAGATCTAGAGCTGCGGAAAAACTAGACTTAATAAGCCAGTCGTAGATTTTAGATCCAGATCTACGGAAAAACTAGGTTTAGATCTAGATCTAGAATCTATTCTAAAACGAGTTTCTATACTAAACTATTTCTGGCCTTAATTATTATATATAGATTCTAAAGCTTTGTTTGTTTAGCCATTGAATGGGCGAATCTGGTATAAAATATAATTTATAGAATTCACCTGTTTCTGTCTTCTCAGCATAAGAAGCGATAGTGTGGCCAGACTCATGCTCAGCCGAAATAGGTGTTTTTAAAAGACAAAAGCAACATTTCTGCCATTGAACAGCCGGGTTTTTAACAAAATCATCTAAGTCTCTTAATTTTAAGTCTCTCAATCAGCGTGTGCATTTAATATGGTGTTGTGTTGACTAATAATATATATAATTTGGTTTTAATTTTTCTAATAGATATTCGTAGCCTACGTTATTTTAATTGTGTAGGATTTTTAGCTATTTAGTTATTTCTTTGCTTTGTCACTAATATCGTTCAACGGGAGCCGTACGTTTTCCCGAAAGACACTTGCCCGAATGCCGTTTGCCCGAAGGCCGATTTCCCGAATGGACACTTGCCCGAATGCGACAATTGCCCGAATGGACACTTGCCCGAATGCGACAAACGCCCGAATGGACACTTGCCCGAATGCGACTAATGCCCGAAAGGACACTTGCCCGAATGGGACAAATGCCCGAATGGACACTTGCCCGAATGCGACAAATGCCCGAATGCCACTTGCCCGAAAGCCGTTTGCCCGAAAAATCTTAATATTAGATAATAAAAAATACTTCCAAATAGACATTCTTTAATCAATTTAAGTTTGAAATTTTTTTATTTTTTTTTTGACAACTGATTTTTTAATAATTTTTTTTTATAAATACTTTTATTTGCAATAAAAATCTAATATATAAAGCTCAATTCTGTATGTAACATGTGGTAGGTTTGTTTTTCGTGGACATACTTCGATGAATTTAAGTGTTAGATTATTATCGTGCTCTTAGTCTAAATTTATGAGTTAAAAAATTACTATTGAAAGTGTTGGGAAATAATTTTCATTTTTCAAACTGATAGTAATAATTGTCGGCATGCTTATTAAACATAATTTTTAAAAAATATAATCTTTTACAAAAATTCTAATTATGTCTGAAAATTATTTATATTTAGTCCTTTAGCACTTACTTCCCTTTGATAAATTAGGAAAACACAATTACTTCCCTTTACAAAACATTGCATTAGTGGAAAAGAATTTACTTTTTATTACTTTGTTTTGGTGTTTGGAAAAAAATAATTACATAATTAGCGGGGATTGATCAAGTGCAAATGTTGTAGGTATTTTACGGTTAAGCTTGGAGTATAATTGTTCATTAAATTGAAACAGGCGCGTCCGCCGGCGCCCCACCAGGGTTCAATGTGGCGCTCTGGGCTATCCTGTGAGCGCTATGGTGCATAATTTCGCTTTAAACAGTGCGATAGAGTATGGATAAGAAAGGTTACTATAGTCTTTAAGTGAATCGAATCCGGGCGTCCTCTGGTGCCCAGACAGGTTGCTATTTGGGGCCCCGGGCCTCCCGTGATCGGTGTGGCGCCTACGTTCGTTTAAGTGAGTGCAAAAGACTATGAATAAGTTGGGGTGCTATAGTCGTTTATTAAGCTGAAACAGGCGATTCCACCCCGGGCTAGACTGTGAGCACTTTGCGTTTATGTACGCGTTAGTGTTTTCTTTGTGTTTAGGTGGGGTGCGTTAGTGGTTGCGTTTTGGTTCGTTTTTGTTCTTTCTTTTTTCGTTTTCGTTTGTGTTTTTTCTTTGGGTTTGTGTTTGTATTTGTGTTTGTGGTTGGTTTTGCGTTTGGATTTGGTTTGTTTTCGTTTGCTTTTTCATTTGTGTTTTTTTCTTTGGGTTTGTGTTTGTGTTTGGTTTTGCGTTTGGATTTGGTTTGTTTTCGTTTGCTTTTTCGTTATTTTTCTTTGTGTTCGTATTGGTGTTTGTGGTTGTGGTTGGGTTTGTTGTTAGGTTTTTGTTTTCGTTTGTATTTGTAATTGTGTTAGCGTTATGTTTGCATTTTGTTGTTTAGGTTTTGGTTGGTTGTGGTTTGGGTGGGCAATGCCGGGTTTATGATGATTAATAAACACACAGGTAATGGTCTTTAACAGAAAGGTTTTTCACAGAAGCCAGAGCAGGGCCTGGCCGGGACGGCTAGTTTTTATTGAAACACAATTCTAAGCATAAAACAAAATTGTTTATATTTTTAATTTTTTTTTCTTAAAAACTGAGAAAGAGCTGTAAGAAAAACTTTATTATTTAATAAATGTAAGGTGATGTTGGCGGAGGTGTTCTAACATTCTTTAGATGAATGTTTGAACACCGACGTGGTGCGGTGGTTATGTAGCTTTTATGACACGGCGTAGGCGGCGCGGCGTCTCGCAACATTGAACAGAGGGGGGTTTGTTTGTTTATCTTGTTACGCTTAACTTGTATGTTGATCATTTAACAAAAGAATGAGGCAAGTCTAGGTGGCGATGTTAAAAACTAAACGTAGTCAAATATGTTAGATCTCCATTTAATGCGCCTTGTTAAGACAATGTTCTGAAGCGATTACTTAATAAAGAAAAAAAACTCATTTTAAAATCGAGAGATGAATGAAAATTGTATTTTTGTCTAATTTCATATATGGAAGAGAAAGTATGTTTCTACACTTTTTAAATATCAAATACAAAATGTCTGCGTGGTAATATATATTATTTTTTTCACTTTCTTTTTGCGTAAATGTGTTTTGTTTACCAACATTTTAAATTTAAATTGATTACGAATGATTATTTAGTAAAATATAAATGTTAACATTTTTCGGGCAAACGGCCTTCGGGCAAGTGGCATTCGGGCATTTGTCGCATTCGGGCAAGTGTCCATTCGGGCATTTGTCCCATTCGGGCAACAGTGTTTCTTCCAGACCTTTTTCTCCGGGGGGGCACTTGAAGTTTCGGGGGGGGGGCGGTAAACTTTCTTCGGGGGGGCGGACACTGTTAAAAGTATATATTTTCTATATAAATTATATAAATTTCATTTCGTTCGGGGGGGGGGGGGGGGGGGGGCGGTAAAAATTTTCGGGGGGGGGGGGGCTTTGACCCCCCGAAGAGATGCCTGGAAGAAACTCTGTTCGGGCAAGTGTCCATTCGGGCGTTTGTCGCATTCGGGCCAGTGTCCATTCGGGAAATCGGCCTTCGGGCAAACGGCATTCGGACAAGTGTCTTTCGGGAATTTGTCGTAGACTCTCGTTCAACATAGCGTTTTGAACAATAACTTTTTTATAATACTTTTTTCTCAATCTAGTATAACATTAAAATATATAGGCCCATAATACGCATGTAACGGGTACCTACGGCTATTTATGTTATAAATGAATAGGCTACTATAATAGCAATTTTTTCATAGTCTTTCCAGCAGGATTTGCTGAGAGTGGAACTAAAAATAAATTGCATAAAAATGTTTTAATAACAAGCTTTATATAACAATGCATAGGAAATACTTTATTTTCTTTAATTATATTATAATACAATACCATTCAAATAACTATAAAGAAAAGCGTCGGTCCCTTCCTAAATATTAGTTAAGGTATCCAATAGATAACATAGCGACCCACGCTTTTCTTTAAAGTTATTTAAGTAGTGTAGGCTATTATGTATATTTAAAGAAAATAATTTAGTTTCTAATTATTAGTTCATTATTACAGAAAGGTAATTAGAAATATTTTTTTGTCAAAAACATGGTCTATAATATAATGGACTAATCATAACACTCTAAATTTAAGCGACTACTACAAAGATAAAATTTAAGAAAAGTAAGGTCGTTACATTGACGAAGCACTTGAGCAAAGAACTTGAGTTGTTCTTGACTCTACACATGAGTATTAGTTCATAGGACTCTATCATCATCAGAGGGGGGGTCGCATGTTAAAGTGGTGGATTCATCTGTATTGGAGCATAATGGAGTCAAACGATGTAAAATATAAAGTAAGCAATGTACCCTTTCGGTTCATTCGGTCCATGGTGCAGGTGAGGTTGTTCACGAGTTTCAGTGAACTCGGCACATGAGATGATAGTGTGGTCAGCATTATTGCAAACTGCATTTACTTTCCAATATGTCAGCCAGGTACCCATTAGAGCTGGGTGGACTCATGGACTTAGTTCATGATCCGAACTTGAGAATTCCATGCTAGAGTTTGATTGCTCTACAATTCGACCACACCTTCCCATTCACATATTATATAGTGTGTTTATCTGTAGGGAATTTTCGACCATCACATATATTGCAACAAAGTAGAGACGTGTTGGCATTCCTATTTTTGACATCTTAAATCTTCATAAATTCTCTAACCACAGATAAAGTCACATAAACAAGTACAAGAAAGCCACAAGCATTGAAACATTAACATGTAACACTGAGATGTACAATAGTTAATCTTACCACGGATACAATCTTGATCTGTTGATAAAAATGAAACTCACATTAAAAAACAATTTGTTTTTAAACTTATTTATTTTATCTATCTATCTATATAACTATAAAAACTCTACTATGTTTACTAGTTTGTTTATTTATTTATTTTAATTTTATATTTTTATTGGTTTGTTATTTTTATTTGTTTGTTCTTTGTCTGTTCCCCTTGATCAGTGCATCTGCAATATGTGTAGAACTGTAAAATACTTTTATATGTAGAGGAAAATGTCGTATTTTCCCAAGGTTATACAATAATTTATTTAAAGACGATAATTAAAATATTGATATATTCATTCGTAGAAACACCACATAATTATAAAAGTTCAGCACAAATACTTTATGTACTTAATTTCGTGAAAATTAAAAACTTTCACAGGGTACTATAGTCAGGGGCGTAGCGAGGGGGGGGGGGCGGGGGGTGCGGACCGCACCGGGTGACACCATTTAGGGGGGTGACACCAAGGCAAAAAATAGCAAAATATATAGAGAAAAACTCGAGGGGGGGGGGTGCAAATCGAAAGTTTGAGGGGGGGGTGCAAATCGAAAACTCGAGGGGGGGGGGGGTGCAAATCGAAAGTTTGAGGGGGGGGGGGGGGTGCAAATCGAAAGTTTGAAGAGGGGGGTGCAAATCGAAAATTTGAAAGTTTGTCCCTGGGAAGGGTCTCTATGCCTCTGGGGGGGGGGGGGGGGGGTGACACCATTAAGTGCCGCACCGGGAGACACCCGACCTTGCTACGCCACTTGAAAAGAATAGGATTTTATAAACAGAAACACTTACATTTTTAAAGCCGTTTTTAAAAAGTATGCACAATAAAATTACGTAATCATTCTAGTGTAAAAATATAATTTAAAATCTAATGCCGAAATGAATACACAATAATAATCGCGTCAACAATAATAGGTAAAAAGACGCTAAAATAAAAACCAATTTTAACATGTGCGCTTGCAAAGTTTCTTTCCAAATGCTTGATTTACTTATTCTTACAACATGGAAGACCATGTTGTTATTCAATAGTTTAACAGCTGAATTTTCTGTCAGCTACGGCTTAACATTTTATTAGGTTACAAATATATTATCATTTTTAATAGGATACATTTAACAGGTCTTCTCATTTGAGGATATAATAAATTTATGTAGACCTAATGATAAACTAGATTTAAGCTGTCGGAGGATAGTATACCGAAACAAAAGAAAAAAAACAAGTATAAAATTACAAGAAATAATAGAATCTCTTTATTAAACTATTTTAGTCCTTAAATATTTTATATAAATCTTTGTTTCTTAGCAAAGGAATTGGTTAAATTAGGATATAATTTTATTAAAAAAATATTTTGACTTGATTTTTACTTTCTTACGGAGGTTAAGTAAAATAACATAAATTTTATCCGGACATGCACTTGTCGGCCTGGCAGAGTGGACAAGCGTGGCGTAATTTATATATTACCCTGAAACTTACAGTTATCCAAGGATAACGTTTGGTTTAGAATATACTCAAAATAAAGTGGACTATATTTTCTCACTTTCATAATTTTTAGTCTACTTCCAAAATATATTTTTCAAGAATTCAGCATTTTGATCCATTTAAAGCTTTACAACTAAAGTATTAAAGCTGTTTTAATCACAAACACTTACTAACTCTCGCCTAAGGCACAAAATAGCTATACCCTTTTAATAAGGCAGACTCAACCCCAACACTTAACAGTATATTAAGCCGTACGAAACCTAATGGTGGTACATTATGTAAATCCTAATATATAAAAGCCCAAGTGCGCACTTCTCTCTCTCTCTTTCTCTCTTTCTCTCTCTCTTCTCTCTCTCTCTCTCTCTCTCTCTCTCTCTCTCTCTCTGTCTGTCCGCAAAATATTTTCGCCGGATATCACGTCAGAATCTTCAGCGATATATGGAAAACTTGCTACGGACTTTTGTTGAAAATAATATGGTAGATGTTTTAAATGTATAACCACAATTTTATTTAGAGAACAAAAATAATAAAAAAATGAAGGCGTATTCGAATGTAGAAAAACAGTTTTAATTATGCAACAGGAAAAGCGTTTATAGTTGTGAAAAAGAATGCATAAAACAGTGACGTCACTAATGTTTATGTATTAACTAATGTCGTCATCCACCGTGTTTAGAATAAAAAGAAATGAACTATTTCATTCAAATATTATTAGATCTACGTACGCTATAACATTTATACAATACACTTTTGCTCGGGCTAAACTTAAAAAAAATTCTATTAGGATTCTAAATATAGATATTCTAGATCTAGATATTCTAGATCTAGATTATCTAGATCTACGGAAAAACTAGACTTACACAGATCTAGAATCTATTCAAATAATACATTTCTATACTAAAGTATTTCAGGCCGTAATTACTTTATTGAAATCTTTTTTTATCTATGCAATTTGCTAATCTCTATAATATATAAAGCAAAGTTGTCGGGTGCCCGATAGGGCACTTCCCGGCGCCGCAGGCGCTTCAAATTTGGCAGGATCTTGCCTTGGGGCGACAGAACACGGGGGGCGGTTGGCCGAAAAGTCTACGATGAGGGGGTCAAAACTGACCACAACTGACAGGCGCCTTATATGAGCTAAAATCGAACAAAAATTTCCTCGTAGGAACCTCTTCATTACTCCTGAGGACGTAGACTGACCCTCGGGCGAATTAATTAAGCATTCAAATTCTCAATGTTATCGAAAGCCTAAGCGAAGCTGGGCAGCATGCCTAGTAATCTATAATATAAGCGGCTAGTTAGTGTGTCTGTCCGTCTTCGCTATAGAGTCATTTCATATGACGTCACGTCCGCTCGTGAATGTAAACATCCGCCATCTCGGTGTACAGATCTATATTCAAAATGGTGATCTGTGCGGTGAAAGGCTGTGATACACGAAGTGGCAGATCTAAAGGGATTCCTTTATTTCGACTGCCAAGTGTCATATTAAACCAAGATGATAGAGATCGACAGTTAACAGAACGTAGACGCCATAATTTTTAGCCAATATTTATCGCAGCGGTGTGATTGAAGCAGCGGCGAATAATATGTGATTAAGTTCTGGACACTTTGTTTCAGGTAAAAACAGTAAAATAGTTAACTTCATTTTAATCATAAAAGATAACTATTAATAAAACAAATATGCTCGACCATTACAAATACTAATAATAAAAAACAAAGTCAAAAGTAATAGGCCTTATAAGAATAATCAGATTTAATTGTAATAATTGAATAGTGATTTAATATTGAGATCTAGAATCTAGCTCTAAACATGGCGTAAACAAAATTCGGACCACAGATCTAGATTCTGGATTTAGGGTGACTGGCTCCGCTGGGTAAACATAGAATCTAGAATCTACTTATTTACTTAAATTTAATTACAAAATTTAGAGCTACATTCGATTCAAAATACACCCATAATAAATCAAAAGTAGTCATAATAATAAAGCATTTAATTGTCTCTAAGATCTAAAATCTCGCTCTATAGCCTAATCTAATCATTTTTTTTAGCAAACGAAGTTTTCTGAAATTGAAATAGATCTAGATTGTATGACTGGACTTAGATCTAGAATCTGATACTTAAATTAAATTTTAAAAAGTTTATACCAGCATGTATTTTATATTATTGTAGTAGAAGGCTTTAATAAATTACTAAGGCCTACCTACTTTGTGTCTTTTTACAGCAATATGTATCTGATACTGGACTGACTTTAATCAAATTCAAATGCATATCTAGTAATTAGTCTACTAAGTTTATGTAGCCTAGTAGTAGAATCTAGATCATACCAGCCAACAACAAATAACCACATTATTATTATTTGGTTAATGATTAGGCTAATTTTGTTTTAAATCCACTGTTTATAAAAGAATCAAATAAAGCTATAAACATTATAACTGAGATGGTATAGAATAATAACAATGGACCCAGTCTACAATTGATACAATTGCAGTTCTACATAGGGCCTACAGTCTAGTAGTTTACAGTAGGTACCTAGTGTGTAGCTAGTATACTAGTGTGTGGCTGTCCAGAGTTAAGATTCTTAATGCCTTAATGCTTTCCCCTGATAAGCCATGAGTGCAATAAATGACATAACATGACATCGAGGTGAGAAATGTTGAGGGGAGAGCAGTGGGACTTTCCCCTTTGTTCTCCCTGCTGGGCCCTGAGGGTATCACTGAGGTGAGAAATTTTCAGGGGAGGGCAGTGGTACTGACTCCTCTTTGGTTTTATTGTGGGCTAGAAATAGGTGGGGCCGGCCATTATGAGGGTTGAACATCAATATTAATGTGCCTGATCACTTACTTGCTGGATTATAAGGGTCTTAAATTGTATAACAGGCTACACAGATTGGCTGAGATCTAAGAACAGCAGTGGTTATTACCAATGAATTAGATCTATATTAGCCTTTGTAGTGTGGATTTAAGTGGTCTCACGTTTGCTACAGTAGTGTGATTGTACTAGATCGATTGCTACTAAATCTTGTACTTAACAGAGAATCTATAATCTACATTAACCAGATTTAGATAACCTATGATATTACTTAAACTCTTAACGCAAACAGTATTACTAACAGAATTTTTATTTAGAAATTTTGGCCACATATTTATCCACGAAACTGTCAATAACAGTATAAGGATCTTTGATTTCAAAGATTTCAAGTTTTTTAACGTATTTTTCCTTTTCCGCGGGTGCGGTTCTTTACATACAGTGAACACGTCCAGCGCTGGTGAACAGCTGATTGTGTTTACGTCCTGTGTACACCACTGTGGCGGCGGACGCAGGTTTCACGTGATTTAGGTCACGTGTTTGGAAGGACTCTATAGATTTTCGAACCATGAAAGTAAAAATCGCACCGTGCACTGCATTTCAGTGCATCGCATTGTCTTATTATAAGTAACGAGAAAAATGGCCCGTCGAGGAAGGGTACAACGGGCGCTAGGCTGATAGTGCTGTCTCTTTTCTCTAAACTAAAACCACCCCACCCC